TGTGTGTGTGTGTGGTGTGTGTGTGTGTGTGATGTGTGTGTGTGTGTAAGTGTGTGTGTGTAAGTGTGTGTGTGTGTGTGGTGTATGTGAGTGTGTGTGTGTGGGTGTGTGTGTGTGTGGTGTGTGTGGTATGTGTGGTGTGTGTGTGTGTGGTGTGTGTGTGTGGTGTGGTGAGGTGGTGTGTGTGTGTGTGTGTGTGGTGTGTGGTGTGTGGTGTGTGGTGTGCTGTGTGTGGTGTGTGTGTGTGGTGTGTGTGTGTGGTGTGTGTGTTGTACACATGTGAGAGGGATCCATCCACACACACATGAGTAGAAGCCAAGAGTCTGTCAGGTGCCTTTACTGGGTGACACTTTCTCTTTCTAAGGTAATGTCTCACTACATGGCCCTGGTTGATGGGGACGATCTCTAAAGCGATTAGTCTCAGACTCAGAGATCCACTTCTCTCTGCCCCCAGAGCGCTGGGCTCAAAAAGCCTGCCCAGCTCACCGTCATCTTTCCTCTTCTCTCTCTGTCTCTCTCTCTCAAAGAAGATCTCATCAGGCAGCTCTAGCTGACTCTCTATGTAGACCAGGTTGGCCTCAAACTCGAAAAGATACTTCTGTTTCTGCCTCCCAAGAGCAGGGACTAAAGACATGTGCCACCTTGCCCAGCTCACCACCTTATTTTTTGAGACAGGGTCTCAGACGGTGCCTAAACCTTGCCATTTTGGCGAGGCTGGCTCAGCAGTGAGCTCCTGGGATCTGCTCGTCTCTGCCCACAAAGTTGGGGTTACAGACATGTGCAGCCTTGCCCAAGGTTACGTGAATGCTGGAGATTTGCACTCAGATCTTATGGCTTTCACACCAACTGCTCTTACCCACGGAACTGTCTTCCTCATCCACACTGCACACTTTTCTAGGGCTATCGGAGCGGACATGTATCCAGGGTCTGCCTGCCTTAGTGCAGTAGGCTTCAGAGTTGTTCGTTGCTTTTTTTTTTTTTTTTTTTTTTTGAGACAAGGTCTCTTTTAGCTAAAGAAGAGGTCAAAATGTCTGATTCTCCTGCTTTTGCCTCACAAGTCCTGATCTGCTAGGCCTCTGCCACCACATCTGATTTACACAAGCTCTCTATCAACTGAGCTACATGCCGAGGCCCATTGGTTTGCTTTGGTTTTAGTGTATATTTTGAGGCAGGGTCACACCACGTAATCCAGTGTGTGCTCTGTAGCCCAGCCTGGGCTTGAACTCACAATTCTCCTGTCTTAGCTTCCCAAATAACCAGATTACAGGCACACACCAAGATGCCTTGTTGCAGTCTTGTTCTCCAAGGCGGGAGCACAAGAGGAGGCGGCGCCGGCTGGGCGGAATTTAGGGAACACCGGAAGAAAGGTGGCTGGGCACCGGCTACAAGGATTTGTCCTGAACTGTTTGGGGGCGAGCTGGGGAGAGGCCTGGGTTTAGTTTGAGGGTAACTCTTCTAGAGGGGCTTCTGTTTGTCTGGCAGTCTTGGTTTGTGGTGGTTGGCAGGTCAGGTGTGGGTACTTCAGGGACCCAACTAGAGCTCCTCCTCTCAAAGGATGCCTTCCTTTACTGTGGGGTATGGGGGCTTTCATCTATGTCCAGTTTGTTTCCTTGCCCCCGCAGGGGGACTAAATCCTGTCCGTTTACAACTTTTAACATTGTGAAATGACAGCCGGGGAGTGCCTTTACACACGCCTGTCATCCCAGCACTCAGGGAGACAGAGGCAGGTGGATCTCTGTGGGTTGGAGTCCAGCCTAGTCTACAAAGCAAGTCCAAGACAGCCAAAGCTACACAGAAAAACCCTGTCTCGAACAAACGAATGAACAAACAAACAAACAAACAAACAAAAAGCATTATGAAAAGCCACTGTTATTTACAAAGTCCATGAAATCAAAATAAAAAATAAAAATGTCAGCAAAGGAGCTAGGTTGGCCAGCAGTGTGAGGACGTGAGTGCAGACCAGCACTGGCATAAGAAGCCTGGAACGGCGCCCTGGGCCTGCTGCTGGGGAGGGAGAGAGCTGGGACCCCTCCACTCCCTGGTCAGCAAGTCCAGCTGAGTCAATGGCCTCTAAGTTCAGTAAAAGACCAGCTCAAAACATACGGTGAAGACCTGGGGAGATGGCTGGGCACATACTGCTTTTGATGAGGACTCATGTTCCATTCCCATGTCAGGCAGCCCACATCTGCCTGCAACGACTGCTTCAGGGGCATCCAACATTCCTGGTCTCCTCTGGCACCTGCACTCATATGCACACAACGCAACACAGACACACACACACACACACAACTAAAAATAAAATGAACCTTAAAAAATAAGGGGAGCCAGGCCTGGTAGCACATGCAGAGACAGGCCGGTCCGGCCTACATAGTGAGTTTCAGGCCAGCGAGGGCTGCAGAGGGAGACCCACCACAACAAAACAAAGTGATGTAGAGAGCAACTGAGGAATAGACCTGCTTTCCTGGCTCTGGGTGGACTCTCACACATGCACGCACAATGACACACACATACACACTTATACAAAAATACACTTCCAGCCACACTCCCTCACCGGAAGCCTTTACAATGTTTCAATTTAACCTACCATTTTGTGTTGGGACACACTCATGGCTCTTCTCACACTGGCTTTTGGACTGGCTTTAAATAGTGCTCCCTCCCCAGGCCTTAGCTTCTGAACCTGAATCAGGAGGTGCTTTAGCACCCTGCCTCCTGCTCGCTCTACACCAACCTGTAGTGAGCAGGGCTCCGTCTCAGGAACTCAAGCTCAGAGGCATCCCAAAAGGTCTCCAGCAGTCCTGGGTTTCCTAGAGGTGCTGGTGTGTCAGTGCCAAAACCTGGAAGTACTGAGCTACCTATGCTTATGGAAGGATGGTCCAGTTGCAAAACAACAACAACAAAAAGTTTTGAATATGACTGACAGATTCTTAGGTCTTTTATCAGTGGTCACAGTTGCTGGGTTTGTAAGGATCATATCATGCCAGTCTCTCGGAGAGTCGCATGGATCCCCCTCTGTGACTGCCCCCACATCTTTCCCAGTCTAGCTCTGAATTCTCTGCTGTTGCCCTCTAAGGTGGAAAGACCTCTGCCAGTCCCTCTCATAGCACCATTTCAGCCTACCGCAAGTTGTGTTCTTCTGCTTGGCCCCTTTCAGCCTCAGACAATGCCTCATCTCCAGTGCAGTACCTGCCTGTTTCCTTCTCCGTCCTCTCGTCTCTCTCCCTATTAGCTTCATAGCCACCTCTAAAGGGCCAGGGCCTGAAGGAGCTGAAAGCATGTTTTTTTCCTCCTCCTCCTCCTCCTCCTCCTCCTCCTCCTCCTTGTCCTTCTCCCCCTCCCCCCCCTCCGTTTTTTGTTTTTACAGACAGGGTTTCTCTGTGTGGCCTTGATCTGTAGACCAGGTTGTCTCTACCTCCCTGACAGGCGTGCACTGTCAAGACCGGCAGCAGCTTCTGTTCTTGCAGAGGACTTGGGTTCAGCTCCCAGCTGATGTGGGCACATGGGGTGGCTCAAAGCTCAGTGTAACTCCAGTGTCAAGGGACCCCAAACCCTGTTCTGGAAGTGTGTGTGTATTTATATGTGGAGGGCACACACAGCACACATTCGTATGTGCAAACACTCATATACATAAAGTGAAGAGAATCAATCTTAAGAGAAAGAGAGGCTGGCGCACGCCTGTGATCCCAGCACTCCAGGAGGCAGAGGCAGGCGGCTCTCCGATAGTTCAAGGCCAGCCTGGTCTACAAAGTGAGTTCCAGGTCAGCCAGGGCTGCACAGAGAAACCCTGTCTCACAAAACAATAAAACTAAAGGCCGGTGTGAGAAAAGAATAAAGGCGATCCACTGTCCTGGGCCTTCCTCACACCAGACTGAGAGTCTGTTCCTTTGCGCTGTGCTGATGATTAATTTCCTCAGAGTGCTCTTCGGTGAACTAATTAAGACACCAGGATCACTCCCGCCTGCCAGCCTTACTCACCCTCCCTGGGATGTCCTCTTCTTGGCCCTCCGCCTGCAGCTGAGGCCCTAGCTGCAAAGTGGTTTATGGGCTGGGTGGGGTGTGTGTGTGTGTACTGTAGCCCTATCATGTGCCGCCATTGAGTTCTGTGGTGTGTGTGTGTGCTGTAGCCCAGGCCGATCTAGACCTCTTGATCCTCCTGCCTCCACCTCCTAGGCGTGCCCCCACGCTGGGCTTAAGGGCGGGAGCCTAATAAAGCTTGATTAGGAGCAGAGAAAGGGAAGAATCACGTTATCAAACAGGGACTAACCTAAGGGCTAGTGCTGAGGTCTCCAAGGGGCAGGCAGAGTCGGGGGGACAAAGATAGCCAGCCCGGGGTAGTGGCCGGAAGCCACAGCTGGAATCCTGCCCACTTCCTGTCCATCCAGTGTCTCCCGAAGAGAAAAGATAAGCCGGGCCTCTAAAGGGTAGCCGATGCTGCGTTCAAATCCTGACCTCAAGTCTCATGGGAAAGGAGCATGGCCAGACACCTATCTTTTAGGGTTACTGCCGGGTCTAAGAGAAGCACCGCGTTTAAAAGCAGCCGCAGAGCGACAGAACAGAATTTACCCACCAGCGAGTCGCACGCCGCCTCGGTCGCCTGCGGGCGGCGGGACCCAGGCACCTTGCGGCAGAGAGGCGGCTTTATTCAACCAGTTAGAAAAGCAGGAATCCGAGGAGGAGACGGGCTCAACGGGTCTCTCCCTCCACCCGGGAGCCGGGAGCCGGGAGCCGGGGGCCGGGGGCCGGGGGCCGGGGGCCGGGGGCCGGGAGCCGGGAGCCGGGAGCCGGGCCCCAGCGGAGGGAAGGAGTCCGGGCTAGAGCGGCTTTGCTTTCAGTCGTCCACCTGTATCTCTTCCTCTGACAAGGGGGGCTCAGAATCGGGCCCGCAGGGGCCCGGGTCGGGGCTGGGAGCGCCGTCGGGCCGTGCTAGGTGGCTCAGGGCCCCCCGGGACAACGCGCACAGGGAGGCCACGTCCGCGCGCATCTCCTCCACGTCCCTCTTGAGCTTGGCGCGACGGTTCTGGAACCACGTGACCACCTGCGCGTTGGCCAGGCCAAGGCGCGCGGCCAGGCCGTCGCGCTCTGACGGCGCCAAGTACTTCTGGAAGCCGAACCGCCGCTCCAGCTCTAGCACCTGCTGAGCAGTGAACGCGGTTCGCGACTTGCGGCGCCTCTGGACACCAGCTCCAGGACCTGGTGGCGCCTCCCGGGCCGCTCTGCCTGCTGGGACAGGACGGAAACGTCACCCTCCAGTTTTAGAGAAGCCGCGGTCTGGGTGGAAACACTAGGGTCGCGGGGCTCAAGTAGGGTGGGGTGGGGGCGGGCCAGCACCACGATCCCTACCCGGGTCAGGACCCGGATTCGAAGTGCAGCAGGCCTCTGGGAGTGCTGGTGACAGACGGATGAGGTCGCTCGCGCGGGGGAGCGGGGAGGGGGAGGTTGGCCAGAGGCGATCTGGTACTGGAGTCAAGGCCGGTTGGCCAAGATCCTCCGACACCTTTTGGAGCTCCAGGTTGTGCGCAGTGAGAGGCCAGATTTAGGTCGGGTGACCCATCGGGCCTGGTGGCCAATGAAGCCCTCTGCTTACACATTAAAAACGCCGGCTCCCTTTCCGGGGACCCCGAAGGGAAGCGAGGTGGAGAGGCGGCTCCTGAGTCCAGCGGTGCGGCAAGGACCTTCTTGCACGTGGCTTGAGAAGTGACCTGCTGGAGCCGGGGCTGGGGGGTCAGGAGGTCCGGGGTCTTTCTGCCTCGCCCTAGCCCTGCCTCACCCCTTTCTTGCCTACAGCTCAAGCCTTTTGTCTGCCCCGCGGCCTTTCTCCACCGTGATTGCCCCGCAAACAGGCAAACAGCGAACACACGGGCCCAGCGGCCCCTCCGCCCGGCGCCCGCGCTGGGGCCGCTGCACAGTCAGAACTAACGCTGGAGACCTGTGGGGCCGAGATGCAACTGCCCACCCTTGGGCAGAGGGTTGGGGTGGGTAAAAATGACCGGCCAGGGTCGGACAAAACTTGTGGCCGAAAGAGAGAGAGAGACAGACAACAGACAGACAGAGAGGGAGAGACGAAGTTCAAGTCCGCGGACTTGCAGACGGGTACCTTCAGGAGGCTGCGGAGCGCGCGGGTCATGGCCCAGGAAAGTTTTACTAGCTAGCTCCTCCAGGGCGCACAGTGGCGACGCGGGATCAGGGCTGGCCTCGGGAAGCTGTGGCACAAAAGGTGCTCCGGGGACCATGCTTGGGCCTAGGATGTCTGCGATGCTAAAGGGTGTCCGGCGCTGGCGTCCAGAGTTCATGGCAAGTGGGCTGTAGCGATCCCGCCTCCCGCTGGGCTTGGCTCACAACCGCCCAGGCCCCCAGCGCTCAGCTTCCGATCTGGGCCCCCTGCCTCGGACCGCCCCCTAGAGCTGGGTGGGAGCCCCGCGTCTCCGCCTTCTGCACCCCACCTCCCTCCAAGGGCCGCCGTCTGGAGCCCATAGGCGTCCTGGCTAACTTTTTTCTTCTGTGGGGTGGAGAGAGGCCGGTGGCTTCTGGCTTTGAGGTATAGCCCTGTGCACGGTCGTTCAAACCTGGCATACTTCCCTGGACTGTATGCTGCTTGGCTTCCTACTTGTAGGCTCCGGCTCGTAAACTCCTGGGCAATAAAATTGCTTTCCCTGGCCCCAGTGGCTGGGAATTCACAGAGTTCTGAGAAACAGGATCAGGGCTGATCATGTTCGCATCCTGGGTCTTAGCTAGGAACGCGGTATCCCAATTTGGTCTTATCTTCTCCACCCAACCCTGGAAAAAGAGAACATGGTGGCTGGGAATGGTTGGTGCAGTGTGGGGATCCAGGATCAAGACTTGGGAGAGCCTGGCCTCGTGGACTGCCCTTCCTGAAAAGAGACCACCAGGAATGGGCCGGTGAGCGTGCCTTGCTGTAGCCTAGAGGCCCTGCTAAGCCAGAACACCCTACTGCTCAGCCGGGTCCCTTGCTGGTGAGGGCTGCTCTCCACAGAGGACCGGCTCTCCCTTTGTCCTGTTGTTTAGCTCATTCTTCAGAGGTGATCTCCCCACAGGGAAGACTGCCTGAAGTGTGGGCTTCATAGACCCAGCCAGATCACATGACAGGCCTCACTGGCCACTTAGACACAGACCCTGAGGCCTGCTCTGTTCATTACTTTTTGTGTTCTCTGTACCCTTCTCCCCCACATTTATTCCCACCTGGGTTAGCACTTCATGATTATCTTGAGGTGAAATGAGGTGGCTCTGGGTCAACAAAGCTGGGTCAGTGAGGCTGTGTGGGCCTGGGTTCCCCTTCTACTATCTCCATCTCAAACAGCTCGTAGGTATGGGGACTGGCTACTCCCAAAGGACAAGCCTCTTCCCTGCCAGGGCAGTTGCAATTTTCTTTTGAAGTTGTTATTTTGAGACAGGATCTCACTGCCCTGAGCCTACTGTGTAGACTAGACTGGTCTCAGGCTTCCCTGGGACTAAAGGCCTGTGCCGCCACACCTGGCATTTAGTTTTCATTTTAATCAAGTTCCCTGTGATTAAGCAAGGCTCACTGTGTGGCCCAGGCTCGAACTCTCGGCGATCTTCCTAGCTTAGTCTTCTGTGCAATAAGCCACTGGACAGCGCCCAACTAGCACTTTGCTCATGTTTAGTTTGCTTTGTCGCTAGTGCAAGGAAAGGCAGAACAGTCTCTCCTGGACCATTTTCCTGGAGGCCTCCGCATCTCGTGCTCTCACCTACTAGTGGCCTCTTGTCTACTCCTTGGGACAGTGGAACTGAAGTGTTTGGGTGACTCAAACAGGTCTTAGGAGATCCTGGGAAACTGGGCGCAAGGCTTCTTGACAGTAAGACACTCCCCTTGATAGTAGAGAGAGCAGCGCCTTCCCCATAGAGAGTTCTCTGGTGACACCTCCAGCCTTCAGGCATCCAGATCCTCCTGGAAGCCTGGAGGATGCTCTTGCTGCTCAGTGAGCCACTGCAGGGTCAGAGAGCAGAGCCAGGCCACGATGGAAAGCTGAGCTGCCTCAGAACCTTGTCAGCTAGTTATTAATGGGGCGAGGGAGGGCAGCAGAGAGCCTCAGCCCGCAGCACAGTCCTTGTGGTTTCACTTAATGTGCAGTTAAAGCAGATCCCAGGAGGCAGAGGGAACTGCCCTACCGCATCCCAGTTCCCGTCCTGTCACTGCAGCCTCTCTGCAGGGATCCATTACGGGCCTTTATGTCCTTTTTACCTCTGCTCTCAATTACGCCTGTGTGTGCATGAGGAGGGTGGGGCTCTCCTGAGGGGCTCTGCCTTTCTCTCTCCTCCTCTCCTGCCTCAGGTAATGGGTGGGATTGGCCCTCAGACACACGAGAGAAGTAGAGAGGGTAAAAGGAAGATAGATATCCCAGCATCAGAGACTGACCAAGGACACACCAACACCCAGCAACCAGTCCAGACTAGACCAGCCGAGGAGGGGGGCTTCTTCTGGCCAAGCATCTGGAATGTTAGCTGGGGAGAAACTGGATCCACAGGAGGGACTGGAGGAGGGCGAGTGATTAATGAGGGATGTTAGGAGATTAAACTGGATTCCGGGCTTGAGGGGAGCAGCAGCTGGGGAGTGCGGAAGCTTCCTGGCGCTAGCTGGTCTGCACCCACAGGTCCAGTACCTCGGGGGTCCCAGAGGATCCAGGTTGCCTTCACTGTCATTGTCAGGCAATTCTTTCTGGTCTCCAACTCCCTCTCTCTCCCCCTGACTGTCCCTTCAGACACTTTAGGAACCTTTTCAAGGCCTCATAGGATGTAAGCTGGGATGGTTACATAGACCTTCATTCCCCTCTGACACTCACCTGTCACCTAAAGGCCTCTTCCCCCTTTAGCACTGTTCAATAAACGACCATCACTCTCAGAGTGGCTCATCCCACACATCTCTCTGAATTCTGAATGGAAAAGCAAGCTGGGTTGGAGGCTGCTCAGAATAATCCCTTTGGGACCACGTCAGAAGCCCTGCATTGTGACACCACCTTTAATCTCAGCACTTGAGAAACAGGGGCAAGCAGATCTCCGAGTTCAAGGCCAGCCTGGTCTACAGAGTGAGTTCCAGGACAGCCAGGGCTACAAGGTGAGACCTTGTCTCAACAACAACAACAAAAGTTATAATAAGTAAAGCTAATGGAATAAATATTTTAAAATTGTCTTCACAAAGTGCTTTGAGAGACTGGGGACACAGCTCATAGCACACGCATTAAAAGGAAAAGAAAGAAAATCCAAGCAAGGTGTGTGGGAGAGGTTCCCAGAATCTGGTTTTCTCTTGCTAGCTAGAGTTGAAACAGTGTCTTCTTATACAGCCCAGGGTGGCCTAGAACCCCCAGCAACCCCCTTGCCTCGGCTTCAGAGCCACTTGCACTCAGCTTGGAGTTTTCTTTTTCAGACTGTGTAACTAAGTGGAGACCAGATCCCGCCACTCAAGTTTTACTTGTTACTTTAGGAATGGTGAGTGTGAGAGAGTTTTGAGTCAGGGTTTCGCTCTGTAGCCCTGCTCACTGTCCTAGTAAAGTCCTTTCCCTCGAGTGGCATGGGAGAGACAGAGCGAAAGTCATGTCCTCTGCACCCAATAGAGCGGGAGAGCACAGCTCCTCAGGGGCCAGGAAGGCGGGGAAGGAACCAGCAAGGGCTGGGTGGGGCTTACAGGGCAGGTTCACACGGCCTTCCTCCTGCGCAGCAGCCAGGGCCTGAGCCCCGCCGCTGCAGAGTGGGCAGCCCTGAGCAGCATATCTTAGGGGTCCTCAGAGCAGCAAGTTCCTCTGCGCGCTGCACCCCTCCCACAGAGGCGCTGGTACGATTTCCCAATGAGATGTGAGCGACCTCGGGGTCAGGGAGGAAAAAGAGAGGGCAGGTCGCAGCTGCGCATCGTCAGCACAGCTGCCGCCTCTGGGCTGACAGGTGGATGCTGCGGCAGGTAGACCCAGACAAGCTCAGCGCCTTCAGCTGGCGTGGGCCTCAGCGCAAGGGCCACATCTCCAAGCGAGGTTGCGCAGAGCTCCTGAGCTAGGACCCCCAAGTCTTCAGGAGCGACTAATTAAAACAACCACCACTACCGTTTATTTAGCTCGGGGCTGGAGGCGGTTTTCACGGATGCAAGCTGCTCTCTGGTGTTTTTAATGTTATAAAACAAATTATTCTTTGAAAAGCTCATACTTTGTATTTTATCATAGTCAGCCCCAATTCCTCTGATTTCTTTTTGTTGCTGAGCTGCAGCCATGTTCAAACGCAAGCTCCTTTGCAGAATGCCAGAGGCAGACAGCGCTCTAACTCCACATCCAGTGCTCAGCAGCGCCCTTCTCTGCGCTGCGCATCTCTCAGCACGAACCGCGAGACGCCCTGAGAACTCTGTAAGGAAGTTTAAACCAAGGCACGCTGCTGCGGAGGCCAGCTCCTGGGAGCAGCTGTGTTCTGCATGGAGGAAGAGGGTCTCTGGAGGGGAGCTCAACATCCGCCCCTCCCCACATTTCCCGGCTTTACAGGAATGATCCCCGCCTCAGACACTCACACATCCTTGGAGGTCTGTCTTCGCCTTCCTCCTCTTTTTTAAATCTATATTCTCCACGTGTCCCAAGCGACTTGGTAAGGTTTCCAGACAACATAATGAGCGCTGGAAAAGTTCCAGATGCCAGCTTAGACTTTTTCTTTCTTTTTTGTTTTTTTGAGACAGGGTTTCTCTGTGTAACAGCCCTGGTTGCCCTGGAGCTCAGTCTGTAGACCAGGCTGTCCTCAGACTCACAGAGATCTGCCTGGGATTAAGGCGTGCACCATCATCTAGCTCAAGCTTAGGCTTTCTTAGCTCTTGTGGCCTTCTAATCTCAGCTCCATAGCCAGCCCCCTTGAACTCCAGGAACTAGGCTTCCGCCTTGAGACTTTACATTCAGGTTTTCTCCACAGTCACACCGGCTGTCTCTTGCGGCTCACCCCAGGTGGTGCAACAGTCTGAGGCTTCCTTCAGAAAGTCTTGGGCGTGGCCTTGCCTACAATGTCCTGTTTTCTTTCTTCTTTATTATTTTATTTTTTGAGACAGGATTTCTTTTCTTCTTCTTCTTCTTTTTTTTTTTTTTTTTTCTTTGTGTGTGTGTGTGTGTATTTTCGAAACAGGGTTTCTCTGTGTAGCCTTGGCTGTCCTGGATTCACTTTGCAGACCAGGCTGGCCTCACAGAGATCAGCCTGCCTCTGCCTGTGTTGGGATTACAGGCGTGTGTCATCATGCCACCACTCCCGGCAGAGACAGGGTTTCTTTTAGCCCTGGCTGTCTTGGAACTAAAAGTGTACTCACCTCTGTCTTTTTTTTTTTTTAAATACTTTCTGATTCTCCTACATAGCTATCCATAGAACCAGGACACTGGTTGGGATTACTTCCAGAGTCCAGCATGGAGAGTGGCCTTTTACAGAGATTTGACCTCAGCTGGCCACATCCCTCTTCTGTGAAGCTTCTTTCCCACCTTAAGGCTTATCTTGGTGTCTCCACATGGATTCCTTCTCAATTTGCCTGTTTCCATTTTGGCTGTATCCCTAAGGCTAGCTGACCATTTTGTGGACAGCTGTCCTGGGCTCAGATCTGCTCCACTAGATGCCGTTGTGGGGTCTTCTTTCTTGTCTCTATTTCCCAGACTATAGTACCAGAATGCAGTTATTTGGATTTTCCTTAAATATTACCCTTCTTTCTCTTCAACCCTACAGTGGCCAAGGGACACGAACTGTGTCATCCTCACATGCTGCAGCGGCACGCTGGAGCAACAAAGCTGCCATCTAGTCAGCTCTCCTTCACCAAAAGCCAGGTTTCAGTTCACTACGGGCCTCTATCCCTCTTCTTTGGCAAGCCATTCTGGACAGCTGGTAGATAAAGGAGACCTTTCTTCACTGTGAGAGCTGGGTGACTTCTGAGGAACCAGGAAGGGCCCAGGCCAAAGCTTCAGTTCGCAGTAGCTAAGAAAGGAGCTGGTGGCACACGCCTGTAATCCCAGCACTCCAGAGGCGGAGGTAAGTGGATCTCTATGTGAGTTCAAGGCCAGCTTGGTCTACAAATCAAGCTCTAGGTCAGCCAGGGCTGTAACCCTGTCTCAAAAAGCCAAAACAAAACAACCCCCCCCCCAAAACAAAACAAAAAGATGAGAAGTGCTTTTTAAAAGCTTTTATTTCAAAAAATAAAGCCACAGTTAATTTCACATAAATATCTGGGGAGGGGGAGGTGGGAAGCAGGCCTGGCCCCTACCTCCTCTTCTCTTTCACACTGTATTGTAAGAGCAAAGGAGATGGCTAAGGAGAAAAGGGAAAAAGTCGTGAGTGGGCTGTCAGCACCCACCGGGCCCCTCAGCCCACCATGCACCTGGCTTACCTTGCCGAACCAGCGGGACAGCCATATCTGCTTCATTGTCATGTGATCAGGGAGAACTTCATTGTCAAAAAGGAGCTGTACCTAAAGGGAGATGGAGCAGGGAATGGCTCTTCCTAGTGCTGAGCAGAGATTTGTCCCTTCCTTGTGTGTGTATGTTTGCATGTTGTGTGTTCAAGTCTGTGGAAGCTCCATCCATCTTTTTTCTTTTCTGAGACAGGTTCTCTCACTGAGCTGGAACTCACCGAGTAGAGTAGGCTAGCCCCAGCCGCAGTGCTGGGATTACAGGTTTACACTACCACACTAGTTTTTTGGTTGAACTCTGGTCCAGGTGCTTGCAAGGCTTTACTGCCTAAGCCATCTCACCAGACCTCTCTTGCACCTTTTTCGTTTCTGAAGACAAAGTCTCACTCTGGGGCCCAGACTGGTCTGGAATTCATTATACAGCCTAGGCTAGTCTCGAACTTGAAGCAATCTCCCTGTCTTCAGCTTTGTTCCACTAAGCCAGACATGCCCCTCCCCTTTCAGTCCCTTCTTCTTCAGATAACCTCTCGGGTGTACTTACATGTTGTGGGTTTAGCATTAGGCGGTGGCACAGAACCCTTCGGAGATGGCGTACCTCAGCTCTAACAGAACACCGGACGTACTTGTTCTAGGAACGGGGAAGGCAGGGAGAAGAACGGGGATATGAAGGAAAGCTTGCTAGGAGAAGTGGCTCCTTGAAAAAGGCCCTCCCTTCAGCCCCTCTCACCTGAAGGACATTTTTATTCTTGTCTTTGCCAGAACTGGACAGAAACAGACACGAGTTAGAGTACTGCACTTTTCCTCTCCCACCTAGACCATAGACGCTTTCTTCAAGGGAACAGACACTCCCTCACCCCGTGCCTTCTCCCTAAGCCCTTGGCTGATTCTGGGTCACTAGCAGTTTTCACATCATGAAACCTCCGACCTGCCCCTCACCTTAGCCGCTCCAGGCACAGGCTCAGCTGCTCATCATAGCGGTAATAGTGGGCTTTAGAGTGGTCAAAACTGCTGAAGGGGAGGCCAAGGTTGCTCAGGGCTGGCTCTGAGAAAAAGGAGATACTGAGGAGGCTGATACAGGTCCCACACCCCTTTTCCCCAGACGGCAAAACTAAGCAGAAGAAATACCCTGAGGGCTTTACTTGGCCCCCTCCCCCAAAGGACCACGAAGGCCATACCTTCCCCACTGGGCTGGGTGACTCTGTCCAAGCTTCGGGACTGATAGAATTCCCGAATCCGTTTCTCTTCACCTAGGAAGGGGTGAAGGGCGGCCATATTAATTCTCTTTGTCCTGGCGGTTGACCTCTTTATCTCTTTATTTTTTGGTTCCCGACAACACCGTTGTTCGCTTCAGCTGCCACCCAGCATTAGGGTCAGGAGGCCCCACCAACACAAGGTGGCCACTCACTGTCTTGCAAGCCCGGTACTAGCTTGTAGACGATGTCCTGCATGACCCGATCCAGCTTCAGGTTGAGCAGCGGCTGCGTCTCGTGGATCTTGATGTTGCACATGGGACAATACTTGCTGGTCTGCAGGTACTTCACGATACAGCTTTTGCAGACTGTAAGAGGAGAAACGCAGACGCTCAGGCCCTCTGGGCGCCCAGCACACGGGGCAGACAGCACGGAGGCGGGAGGCAGGTTGGTGAGGACAGGGCAGGCTCCGGACACTCACAGGTGTGGAGACACTCTGTGATGGTGGTGGCGTCCACAAAGTAGCCGGCGCAGAGGCAGCAGACGATGTGTTCGTTCAGGTCTTTGATCTTCACCCGGACCTCCTCCTGCGGACACACCCTCGGTCACTCTTAACTGCTCTCGGAAGCCCTCCCCCTCTCATCTCCGCACTCCCCAGCTCCGGGGCAGTTCGGTCCTGGAGTCGGCAGTCAGGCCCGCAGGGGGGCGGGGGTGGGGTGCCTCCCCCTCCGCCCAGCAGAGGGCTCCGCGCACAGCGGGTGCTCGCTTCTCCCGGGCTCGCCCGACCCTCCTTTCCCCGGAGAGACCAGACGCCGTCGGAGACTCAACGCGCAGGCGTCCCAGCCCAGCGTCTGGCAACCCTGCCAGCTCCGCGCGTGCGTGCCGCGCGCCCCGTGGCCGCGCAGGCGCACTGGCTGCCCGTCCCGCCACCGCCCGTCCCCTCGCCCGTTTGGGTTCGCACAGCCAACGGACCCCAGCAGTCACCCGCTGCCCCTGCACCTCGTTCCGTAGCGGGTCCATCTTGTACACTGACTGGAGCTGGTTCCGAAGCCTCATCGCGATCGCAATCTGGCCCCCCTGAGGAGACGCCATCTTAAAGGCTGATCCCAGCCCGCCACTTCCGGTACCGCCTGCGGGGCGGGACTTGTCTCCTAGCGACGCGGGCCTCACGCTCTCCGGATTGGCTGGCCTTCCGACACACCCCGCCCTCACCCCCGCGCCCACTCCCCGAGTGCTCACCTGAGCTTGCTGGCCCCCCCCCCCGCCGCGGTCGTTGGGGCGTGGGGGCCGTGGAGCGGGCCCCTGTCTGTGCGCTCCCCGCGCGTCCTTCCGACGGTGCGCGCCGGGCCTCCGGACAACTTCAGGGGCTGGAGGTGGAGAGCCTGTGCCCGCCCCGACCCCGAGCGGTCGCCGGCCGCTCCAGCTCCGGCGCGTGGGAGTCCCGGGACGCGCCCTCGCCTCTGACCCCGCGTCCTCAACCTGCAGTGCGGCGCTGCTTGGCCGCGGCGTCCGCGTCGCCGAGCTGTGTCCGAGGGTCGGGCCTTCTCCCCGCTCCGCCGCGGGACTTCTCCCGGCTTCACGAAGTCCGGGAGAGGGTGCCTTGGGCGGGGTGGGGAGGGAGAGACCCCCGGGAACGTGGCGATCTTAGCCCCCGCTTTCTCCCTGCTGCCGGGGTGGGGGGAATAGGCCCTGGGTAATGATGATGATTTAATCATCGGCGCCTGCGGAGGCCTGGGACAGACTAATGCAGAGCAGATGCCGAAGGAGGAGGGGAGGACTGACAGCGAGGAGACTTGGGCAGCGAGTGCCTGCGGTAGCGTAAGCCCAGGCCTGCACCGGGGGAGGACCAGGGTTCCCCCGGGGCTGGTACTCTGTCATCCCTGGGTCCTTACAGCGGAGTTTAAAAAGGAGCCAAAGGGAAGATCCTAGTGGAAGCTTGAAAGGCTTTCTGTAGAACACAGAAGTCTGTGGGCAGGGCCGACACATGGATGGGGGTTATAAATGTGCTGGAAATAAGGCAGTGTGGAGGGGAACACCAAAGAAGCAGGTGTGGACTGAGCGTGCTAATGGAAGGAATGGGGTTAAAAGTGTTGGAATGGTTAGATTGACGGCAACAGGGACCTGGCAGAAAGGAACATGTACGTTATCCCATAAATGGAATAAAATGTCCTCAGAATGGAGTAGATAAGCATCAAGCAAGTAATAACGACTTGTTAATCAGCTAATTACAGCTATGGTTTACTTCCCTGGCCCAAGCCACCTAAGCACTACTGAGCCATTGCAGGTCCTGACAGTTTCCCTGACTACCACTGCTCCTTCTCCAGCCCCTCTCCCCACAGCCTGACGGGTGATTCTGACCATAGCTTAGAAAGAACACACATTTTTTGATGGCTATATTTCTCATTTTGACCATGGTGCAAGTTTAGTGGGCATGTACATATGTTGAGACCAATTAGAGTATACGCTTTAAATACTTGCAGCTTATTGTAAATTAGACCTCAAGGAAACTGTTAAATAAAAGGCACAGGTCTGTAATCCCAGCATTTAGGAGGTAGAGATGGGGGGAGGGGGATCAGGAGTTCAGGGTCATCCTCGGCTACAAAGCAAATTTGAGGTAAATTTGGGCTACATCAGACTGTCTCAGTCCAGTGGTGGTGGCCTCTGTAGAAGCATGCTTTTCATCCCAGGACTCCGGGAGGCAGAGGCACAGGGATCTCTGTGAGTTAGAAGCCAGCCCGGTCTACAGAGAGCTTTCCAGGACAGCCAAGGCTACACAGAGAAACCCTGTCTCAACAAACAAACAAACAAACAAACACCCTGTCTCAGATACAAGAACGAAAGCAAGTAATAAGTAAATCATAAAACTGAAAACCAGATTGTTGAAGCCAACTGTAGTGGTGCGTGCCTTTAATTCTAGCACTCAAGGCAGGGGCAGTTGGACCTCTGAGTTTGAGGCCAGCCTGATCTACAGATAAAGCAAGTTCCAGGGTGGTCAGGGCTACACAGAGAAATCCTGTCTCAAAAAAATCAAAATAATCTGATTGTTTCCTCTGCTTTTTTGTTTAGGATATTTTAGTGGCGGCGGGGTTACAGCTCTGCAGTAGAGGGCTTGTCCTAGGCCCTTCGTTGATCCCTAGGGACACACTTAGCAAACCCAGGGCCTGCAGAAAAGGCTTAGATGCTAAGAGCACTGGATACCCTTCTCAGAGGACTGGGTTCACCTCACAGCACCCACACAAAAGGCTTCCAACAATCTGTCACCAGCTGCAAAAGACCCACTGCCCAGTCTATACCTGATGGGCTCTAAGATAAAGAAAAAGAAAAGGATCTATGTATGTGGTACCCATATATACATGGAGCAAAACACTCATGCATGTAAAATAAATAAATATAAAAACCATCACCACCAACAAAACAAAAAACTCAACCCAAACTTCATAGCTGGATCTTAAAAAAAAAAAAAAATTACCTTGGAGCTGGAGAGAGAGCCATGGTTAAGAGTGCTTACTGATCTCTCAGAGGATTCAGGTTCAGTTTCCAAGTCCCAAGTCAATGTGTTCACAATCACCTGTAACTCTAGCTCTATGGATGATGCCCTCTTCTGGCCTCCATGGGCTCTTGCATGCATGTGGCGCACATAAACTCACACAGACAAAAACATACATACCCACAGATTTAAAAGATAAATCTTTTTTTAATGTGACTTATTTTTGTGTGAGCGTGGCTCATTGCAGTGAGCACACACACGTGTGTGTGTGTGTGTGTGTGTGTGTGTGTGTGTGTGTGTATGTCAAACTCTGGTGTTCTTAGGACCCTGAGACCAAGGGGAGGCTCCTTCATAATTAGGTTGAGCTGGCTGGCCAGCAAGCACCATTGACACTCCTGTGGCTGCCTCCCCAGTGCTCCTTCATACGCAGCCTTTCAGGTTGGGTGCTGGGGATTCCACTCAGCCTCACATTTACATAGCAAGCACTTTATTGACGGAGCTTTCTTTTTTTTGAAACACCGTGTTCTTCCGCCTGGCCTCAAACTTGTGATCCTCCTGCCTCAGCCTCTTAAGGTAGCTAGAATTACAGGCATGCACTACCGCATATCTCTCAGTGTGTATTCTATCATGTCTCTTTATATATTATGTAGATATTACATTATTTGTTCTCATATTTTTCTAGTTTTTCATCTGCCATTCCTACTAGAGTGTAAGTTTTTCAGAGTTAGGTACCTCCTTTCCTGTTCTGTCCACATCTCTACCTGCAGATCTGAGAACAGAGCGATGTTAAACTCTCCTGGACGGGGCTGGAGAGACAGCGCAGCAGTTAAGAGCACTCAGTGCTCTTGCAGAGGACTTGAATTTGGTTCCCAGCACCCATGTTGGGCAAATGGCTCACAACTGTCTGTAACTCTGGCTTCGGGGTATCTAACAGTCCTGGCCTCTAAGGGGTCTTGCACCTCTGTAGTGCACATAAACTCAAGCAGGCAAACACATGCACACACAGTTTAAAGAAATCCGTTCAAAATATTCAGAATGACAAATGAAAGAATGTAGGTGATGGCGACGGCCTACATTAAGGGTTTAGCAGTGGAAACAGAGGAGTGTAGCTGGAAATCGCACACACTTGTAATCCTTGCACCCAGAAGGTCAGCGCTCAGAGCCAGCCATGGCTACACAGCGAACTCAATGTCTGAGCTACAGAAGACCCTGTCCAAAGAATAAGGAAGAGGAGGCTGCATTTTAAATTTTGAAGGAAAGCGTGGCAGAAGGAAGCAGCCAGGGGCCTGGCTGGGTAGGCCTGGCTGGGTAGGCCTGGCAAAGAGCATGAGTAAGGATGGTGAGAAGTGAGCATTTCCTCCAGCCTGTTGGACTTTGAGAGAGCCAGGTGGAGTTAGACCGAAGGCTAGACCAGAAATGAGTCTGGAGAGATGAGGCTCGTATCTCAGGAGATGCCAATGATTTCTGTGTGGGTGTGAGAGTCAGGACTACTGGACTAGATGAAACCTGATTAGATGCAGAAAAGCTAAAGCCAGAGTTCTGAAGCGTGCTCACATCGACAGCAGGAGAAGCGAAGCCAGTGGAGAAAGGCCAAGCAGTAACAATGGAAAGCAAGAGAGATGTAATAAAACAGGGCTGGAAGATAGCTCAGTGGGAGGACACTGGCCTAGCATGCATGAGGCCTTAGGTTCAACCCCCAGTGCCCCAAATAAAACAAAAATTAAAAGCAAAGCAAACAAAACCAAAAGCCTAAAGAAAGAACACCTAAAGAGCTGGTGAGACAGTAGAGCAGGGGAAAGAGCTTGCGACCAAGCCTGATGACCTGCATTTGCTCCCCGGGACCCACATGATGGAAGGAGACAACAGACTCAAAAGTTGTCCTCTGAGCTCCACATTCGTACTGTGGCACATTTACATTCCCACCCACGCATACACACTACACTAAAAAGAAATGCAATTTTAAATTTAAGGAAAGAAGGAAAGACAATTCGAGAAATAATTGGTTGGGGTGTGTGTGGTAGTACACACAGAAGGCAGAAGCAGATGGATTCCTGTGAGTTCAAGGCCAGCTTGATCTACAGAATGAGTTCCAGGCCAGCCAGGGCTACATAGTAAGACCCACCCACAAAAAGGGGGGGGGCTGTGTCTTAGAAAAACCAGCCTCCACTGGGCTAACACAAGAATAGCTGAGGGGCAAGAAATGAAGGTAGTGGCCATGGACAGAACAAGGGAAAGAAAAAAATGAAAATCTCACTTAACAAGTAAGGCAAAGACTGTTCAGATGAGGAGAGTCTGAGCTAGTGGGGGCAGGAAGGGCTGATGACAGACATAGCGGCAGAAGAGTTGGGGCCATCTTGAAGAACACTGGGGAGAAAGGGAAGGAAGGAACTGAGATGAAGGACTCATCTTTCCCTGAAGCTGCAGCCTCTGTGTGTGTGCGGTGGGGCGGGAGGGGGCTTGGTGGTGCAAGCCCGGAAGCCCAGGGTCTGGGAGGTCAAGAGAGAAAAGGTAGGAGGATGGAGATTGAGCTGCATAGCAAGACACAATCCCAAACATTAAAAGAGGGGGATGGGTGAGGAAAGGACAGAAACAAACAAACCCTTCAGGGTGAGCGCCACAAAAGGCAGGGAGGATGCACTTACCTAGAACCTCCATCTTCAGCTTGGACTAGCAGGAACCAACACAGACAAGGCAAGAAGAGAAGCTCTTAGGTGGGCCTGCGGCTGACCAAACTGGGTGTCCTCTGTCCTTACAGGTTCCTGACAGTGTCCTCATTAACTGCCAGCTTTGTATGTACAGCTACTGTGACCATTCTCAAAAGGTCATCAGTGGGGGAGTGCCACCTGCGCTGGCCTCAAGGTGGACAGTCCGCCAGGACTTCACCTGTCTCTCCTTCATCGACTCACTCTTTGACAGAGCTCAGGACTTACTCAGTTGGTGAGAGGCGGGAGCCCACCCTCTTACCACACCTGCAAAACCAGTCCCCTGTACTCTGTGCTTGGCTTGGGGTTTCAAGTGCTGCTGCTGCTGCTGCTGCCCAGAACAGGGAGGATTTTGCAAAGGGTCGGAGAAGTGATTGAGTTCTCTAGGGGCATAAAAAGCACGGCATCTTTGCCAAATTGTCCCTCCTCCACCCTGTGAGCAGGAGGGTGGAAGGAACAGCTGAAAAGGGTAGAATGAGAGACAGGCGGGAAAAGGCTCTCGCATGGTGGTAATGTCCTCCTGAGCCCTAACCACTGTCCGCTCCGCCCCCACGCCGGCAGGCTTCTGAGAACACTGGGAAGGGGGGCTTACTCTTATCTACTTTTATGTTCCTGTCCAGATGCCCAAATATCCTGGTTCCCAGAAGAGAGAAGACCCCTTCACCCTGCCCCAGGCGTCAGGCTGCCAGCCCATCTGCTGGGAGAAAGGAGGGGCGCCTTTCCCAGGGGAATTCTGGAGAAATAACTAGAACAGTAGTCCCAGGGAGGTCTACACTAGGTCTGTGCTGGGCACTTCGCTTCACGCGGGAAAGCCATAGGGTGGAGCTGAGCCCTGAGGTGGGGAGGGGTTGAGGGTCCAGGTTTGGCAGAGCAGGGCGGGGTCTTCTGGCCAGGACGTGTCCAGGGGCAGGCTGAGCGGCTCCTCTGTGCCCACCCGCTGCCCCCCTCCCTGGGCCCAGTCTCACCGGCTCGGAGGCGCCAGGGCCCCCCCCAGGGCCGGGGCGGGCTGGGGAAGGTAATGTAATTCCGGCCCAGCTAACCCGATTATGGCGGCCTGCACCGGGCAGGGTGGCGACGGGGGCGTGTCTTCGGCTTAGGGGCCCGCCCGGCGGGGGTCCCATCCCAGGGAAGGGCGAGGAGGTCATCCCCCACCTCCCGGGTCCGCGCCCAGAGGTCACAAGGTCACCGAGCCGCCTCAGACCTTCCCCCGCTTTCCCCGGCTGGCACGCTCCAGGCGCGTTTTCTGGGACGTGGGTGGGGTGAAGCGTCTGCAGGACGCGGAGCCGGGAGCCACCCGAGGCCTCAGCGAGTCACCAGCGTAGCCCTGGCGCCTTACAGCGAGGAGGGCAGTGTGTGAGGAGAGCTTTCCGAGAGGCCAGTGAGAGGAGTGGAGTCCCGCGGTGGAGGCCCGGGGGGGCCCGTGTGAGACTCCGGTCCGATTTACGGCCATTTCAGAAAATCGAAATTCTAAGAAACAGGGCCCCAATTCCTGGCCGGCCAGGACAGGCAGGGTGGGGAGCGGAGCGCTGCAGGAAAAGCCAGGAGGTGGGCCACGACCCCAAACTCAGGTGTTCGTTTCCTGCCGCGCCCAGCGAACGCCCCTCGCCACCGTCTGCTTCCCACGCCTGGCCTCTTCCTGGGGCTCCGGGTCGCTTCGCCGTTCCCCGAGCGCTTCTCACACCGCCGGGAAGCCACAACGAGATCTGGGCTCAGACGGCGTTTAGGTGGGAGCCACAACGAAGCCAGGAGGTGGCCGGCGGCTCCCATCGGGGGGCGAAGAGTGGGGGCTAGGGACGGGAGCGCCCGCCGAGGAGCGCGCGGCGGCCCGAGGGCGGAGGCCGGAGAGGATGCGGGGGCCTGCGCATCCCGGCTGAGTCACCGCCCCTCCCCGCACAGCGCCGGCCTCACACCCGCGCCTCCTCCGCCTGGCACCAGCCGTCCTTCCCCTTTAACGGCGCGGCCCCGCCCCTGCCCTCCCCCAGCCCCTCTGCCCGCCGGGGCCGACCTGTCAGTCACTGCCCCGGCCTGGCCGGCCGCCCCTCTGCACACCCGCCTCCGGCAGCGGCCCGGGCAGCCCCGCGTCACCTGCGCCCCCGGGACCCGCGGCCACGCTCCCCCGGGATGCGAGTCCCTGCGCGGACGCCCGGGCGGGGCGGGCACGCGTGCGGCTGCGCCCGGTGCGCGGGGATGCTGCTGGCGCGGGGGCCCCGGCGCCCGGCCGGACCCGCGGGCCCCTGAAGCCGCTGTCGGGGCCGGCAGAAACACCCTCGCAGCCGTCCGGCCTCCCGGCCCTCTCCGGCTGGGACCCATGGAGCCCGCGGCCTTGGCTGCGCACCACCTCCCGCAGCACGAGCCCATCAGCTTCGGCATCGACCAGATCCTGAGCGGCCCCGAACCCTCGGCGGGCCAGAGCCTCGGGGACAGCGCCGCGTTCCCCGGCGGCTTCCACGGGGCCCCGGGCTACGCTGCCGCGGGCTCGCTGGCCGCGGTACCGAGGGGCTCGGGGGGCGGCCCGGGCGGCGTGATCCGCGTCCCCGCGCACCGCCCGCTGCCCGCGCCGCCCGCGCCTGCAGCCCCCGCGGTGCCCGGGCCCTCGGGCGTGGGGGGCGCCGGCGGCCTGTCGGGGCTCAGCTTCCCCTGGGTGGACGGCGGCCGCCGCTTCGCCAAGGACAGGCTCACGGGTGAGGCTGCCCGCGCCCCGGGGTCCTTCCCTCGCACCCGGTCCTCCGCTCCCTCCCCGCCCCGTCTGTCCCCGGCCCTGCGAGGGGCGCCCGGACGGAGCTCGGCCGAGCGCGCCTCCCCCCAGCCTGCCGCGGGGAGGGGCAGCGTGGAGCGCGGGGGCGCGATCTTGCTCCGCGGACGGGCGGGCGGGCGAGGCCGCGGTCTCGGCCCTCCGCTTCCCGGGCCGCCTCAAACTTCGCGCTGCCCTCCCGCCCGCAGCCGCGCTCTCGCCCTTCTCCGGGACTCGCCGCATAGGCCACCCCTACCAGAACCGGACCCCGCCGAAGCGCAAGAAGCCGCGCACCTCCTTCTCGCGCTCGCAGGTGCTGGAGCTGGAGCGCCGCTTCCTGCGCCAGAAGTACCTGGCCTCTGCCGAGCGGGCGGCGCTGGCCAAGGCCCTGCGCATGACGGACGCGCAGGTCAAGACCTGGTTCCAGAACCGGCGCACCAAGTGGCGGTGAGGCGCGGGGCGCGGACGGGGAGGCGCGGGGCCCGGAGCTCGGGGCGCGGACGGGGAGGCGCGGGGGGCGCGGGGGGCGCGGGGCGCGGGCGGGCCGGGTGGGGGCCGCTGCCCCGCTCTCCTCGCCGGCGCGCTGACCCGCTCTCCTCGCAGGCGCCAGACGGCGGAGGAGCGCGAGGCCGAGCGGCACCGCGCCGGCCGCCTGCTGCTGCACCTGCAGCCCGACGCGCTGCCCCGGCCACTGCGGCCGCCGCTGCCGCCGGACCCGCTCTGCCTGCACAACTCGTCGCTCTTCGCGCTGCAGAATCTGCAGCCCTGGGCCGAGGACAACAAGGTGGCTTCGGTGTCCGGGCTCGCCTCAGTGGTGTGAGCGGCCCCGGGGCCGGGGCGGCGCGGCCGGCCGAGCGCGAGGAGCCGAAGGCTGCGACTGTCCTCCGAGGCTCCGGGGCGTCAGCGGCCCAGCCCGCACCTTGACTGCGCCCTCCACGGCGTTTTGGGAGCCGCTGGAACTGTGGGTCGCCAGGGCAGGGGTAGTGAATGAGGCGGGCACTTGCCACTCTGCCCTGAGTGGGCCCAGAGCTCAGGGCCCGCCGGGAAGGGACGGCCGAGTCGGCGGCCGTCAAGGACAGTGGGGTAATGGAAGAGGGGCTGGCTGTGAGGGGACTGAACTGCCCACCTTACCCCTCATCTGTAAAACAATCGCTGAGGATTCCTTGACCCAGTGTCACGGTGTCATGTGTCCAACCTGCGGGCCACTCCCCACGTTGAGAGTCTCAGTCCTGTAGGTAAGGAGGTTCTCTATACTCCGAGAGTAAAAGCCGGGATGAGAACCTGCCTCAGACGCTGTGGAGGGCCAGAGAACTGGAGGAACCGGAGGACCGCTCATGGGCCCAGTGTTACAGTCAACAGGAGACACGCTTTGGGACTTGTGAATCAAAGATGATTCAAGACTGGAGATGTGCAGGTCAGAAAGTCAGTGGTGCTATGGTGCAGGAAGGGAAACTGAGGACCTTTAGCAAGATTAACGGTAGACAAAACTAATGTAAGATCTAGAGAGAAAAAAATTCCAGATGCCTGCCTTTGGGGGAGCCGGCTGACATCACCGGGGTGGAGACAGATGAAACGGGAGGCCAGGATCTCCAGGGAAAGGAGCTCTGGGGAGTTACATGGATTAAGCCTTTCTTTCCACCATATTTCAGAAACACATTGACAACGTGCAGGAAAGCGGTGGATTCAGAAATTAATGGAATAAGGGTGGAAGAAAGGAAGGAGACCCAGCCAGAGAAGAAGACCAGGACATCTTTAGAAAGACTTTAGGAGACAGGCACTTGCAGTAATCCTGGCAACCTGAGTTTGATCCCTAGGACCAGCTTGGTGGAAGAAGAGAACTGATTTCTACAAATTGTCCTCTGACCACGGCGCGTGTGCTCTGGCATGCTCATGCGTGCACACACGCACAATGAAACAATGAAAGATTAGGACTGCGAGCTGTAGGTGAGCCGAGGCCAGGGGAGGCTTTGAGATAGCTGAGGTGCGAAGCTTTCTGGTTACGGGGGTATTTTGTTGTCTAGTGTCCCCATCTTGTTTCTGGCAGAGGCCGGAAGCCTGCCGGAACCCTGCGACAGGGACACACTGGTGGTCTGTGTTAGTGACAGCTACAGCAGGCCGCACAAAGGCTTGGTCTGAGGTGGGCAGGGGCTGTACCTGCGCAAGCTGGCTTCTGATTCATGGATGTTGTAGAGGGCGCTGCAGAACCAAAATCAAACATGGCATCCCAGAAAAGGCTTTTATTGTCCCGAGGAGAGTGCAAAGTTGTGTGGGGCCCAACGTTTGCTCCCTTGCCCATAGATAGAAAAAGAAAGGTCTGCCTAGTTCCAGACTATGGCTCCCCTTTCCTCCCCTCCCACCATTTCTTGGCTCCTAGGTTCCAGGAGTATACTTGACCCCACGCTGGGTTTCTAGCCGGGCTGACTACCCTGGGGCTATGTGGTGGGGTTGACTCTGTCCATAGGCAGCTCACTGCATAACACAGCTGTCTCCATACTCCTGAGGAGAGGGTGCTTCAGGCTCTGCCCCAGGCTCTGCCTCTGCGGCTCCTTCTCTCAGCTGGTTCAGAAGGTCTCTGCTCTCACTAGGGGGCAAGTTACTCAGGAAGTAGGGAGGGGCCAGCTCCACCAGCCTGCTAAGAAAGGCAGAGTAAGATCTTCCCTTTCCCCTCCACCCCTTTCACAAACCTTCCTCCTCAGTCTCACTCCACAGCTTTCGGTTTGGTCCCGCCCTGGGAGGGGAAGGGCAGTGTAAGAGCACAAGCACAGGAAACTCACATCTCAGGTTGAATCTCAGAGACAACGCAAAGGCAGTTGTGTTTGGCTATGGAGAAGCTGTGGTAGAGGACCCACGCAGGCGGCCGCGCTGGCGCCCTGCGGCTTCGGTAGCAGCAGTCTGAAGACAGCTGGGCTACGTGTTTATGGGTGAGAAGCAGGTAATTTCCAGTCCCGTCCGTGTCTCGGGCCACCTCATTGAAACACAAGTACATGGATGAAATAAGTAAAGGAGTAGAGAAAATCGAGAGGAGGCCAGTGCTGGGTGTGGGGTCCCAGCACTGCGGAGGCGGAGGCAGGAGGAGCAGGAGTTTGAGGCCAGCCTGAGCTTACAGAAAGTATGAAGGCAGCTTAGAAAGCATGAGATCTGGTCTCACCAGTGCCTTTAAAGACAGAAGAAAGTAAAAAGAAGGGGCATGAAAAGATTAAGAGTATTGTAGAGCCTAAAAGTAAAATATGTGTGTGTGTGTGTGTGTGTGTGTGTGTGTGTGTGTGTGTGTGAATCTTCAGGAGTCAATCTTCGGTGCATTCCTCAGGCACTATCCACCTTTTTTTTGGAGACAGACCCGGAACCTGCCCTTAGGTTAGTCTGGTTGGCTAGGCAGCCCCAGGGACTGAGTGTCTCTGCCTCCCCAGTGCCAGAATGACAAGTGAATCCATAGTTCTGGGGAGCGAAGTCTCCCTTGAGGCTGAGTAGGTGGCAGGGTGCTCTGCCTCAGCAACACCCCGCCCTCCGCTGCCTTCTGATTCGTTTTTTCTGAAATTAAAAATGGCGTATTTATTTATCTATGTGTGTGGGTGCTCTGCCTGTAGGTGTGCACAGCAGTTAAGGATGGTTGTAAGCTATCGTGTGGGTGCTAGGATCTGAACCTTGGTCTCCTGAGAAGCCATCCGCCCACCCCCACCCCTTTTGGACATGGACTCTTCCTTGGTAGCCCCAGCTGTCGGAAAACTTTCGCTGTAGGACAGGCTGGTCTCAACTGAGAGAACTCTGCCTCTGGAGTGCTGGGATTAAAGGCATCCACCAGCACAGCAAGCAGATGCCTTTTGAGTCTGTCTCTCTGGGCCCTCTCCCCAACCTTGAGGAAGAATCCCGACAGTAGAGCTCTCTGAAGGTCTCTGCGGTTCTGCTGGGAGCCAAAGGCTGGCTGGGTCAGGGGGAGCTCAATCCGCTGCATGAGTTCCAGGAGCTCTGCCCGGAGTTGCCGGGCCCTGCACAGCGCTGCCCAGTTTAGACCCCGAGCCTGGCACCAAGCCTCATCTGCTCCACCTTGGAGAAGAAAGGAAATGGCTGTAATTAAGTCCTTAAGATGCACAAAGAATGACTACTGGCCAGAGGACCTCCTCTTCCTGAATGCAGAGGTCTATTGGCTGATTGGATATTTCCTGGGAGTCTCTGAGGGTACAGACTGAGTCACTTACTTTGTGCAAAGGCTTCATAGACCTGAATCAGAGAGCTGTGATCGCCATCTGCGTGTTCCAGGGCCCGACGCAAGGCAGCCTCTTCCGCACACTGTGGAGGCCGGGAAAACCCAGGAGCAGCTGGAGGCGGAGACAGGAAGGGGGTTTGGGAGGAATCAGGAAGGGTAGTAACACAGAGAGAGTCCTGAAAAAGTAGGAGTAATCCTCTGGGACCTTGATTCAAAAGCAGTACATTCTAGGTTCTCTGCCCTTCATTATTCTTTGGAAGCAGACGCAGCCAGCCCTCCACAAGCACAGACCTGCATCTGTAGATTCAATCAACTGAAAGTATTCAGAAACAAAACAAAACAAAACCAAAAACTACATCTATAGAGACTATCCTTGTCTGTTATTTCTAAAACAATATAGGGTAGCATTTCCGTAATGTCTGCACACAGAACAGGGTACTGTAAGTCATCTGGAGGTTAGGCAAAGTATGCAGGAGAATATGCACAGGTTACATTAATCGATACAGGACTTTGTCCGGAGAGACAGAAGCGCCAGTGCATTGTGGTAGCCACTGAGCGTCCTGTAGCCCATCTCACCTAGGTACTGATGGTGGGAAATGAAAGACAGTTTTTGCCCTTAAGGAGATCAGAGTCTGGTAGGAGAGCGGCTGGGCAGATGACTCAGTGGGTACTTGCTGTATAAGAATGAAGGCTTGAATTTGAATTTCCACTAGCCACATAAAAAAGCTTAGAGCTGCTACCTATACCTGTAACTCCAGAACCTGATGGGTAGAGACAGGCAGATCCTGGGAGCTTGCTGTCCAGTCAGCCCAGCAGAAAAGATGATCTGCTTCCTTTGGCCTTTTCAAGCAAGAACATTGATGCACCACACACACACACACACACACACACACACACACCACACACGTCAGGTGGGAGAGTCCAACAAGGAAATGCACGAGTAAGAAAAACAGGTGTGTTTGGTACTCTGAAAGCAAAGAGAAGGTGAGTTGATCCAGACTTTGGTAGTGGGACAAGAGTGAAGAAAAGCAAGAAATCCTTGGATCAGTGTCAGAAGTAGGAGTGCAGAAGGGACAGTGGGACCATTTGATGGCCCAGATAAGCCTTATCTGGGCCATCTAGTTTGGGTGGGATGGGTGACCTGTGGCAGGATGGCAAGGGAAGCTGGATTGGTCTGCATAGTCAGGATAAAAGGCTGACTGTGTGAGGCAAAAGAGTTAGCACAGTCTAGAACGTGAGAACAGCCACTGAAGAAGAATGCTAAAGTAAGAAAGTCCAAGTGGTGGTCTACACGACTGGCGGGAGACCATGGGAGTGACCAGAGGAGCAGGGAGGAGGGCCCATCCCTGGAATTGGCTGTGACTGCAGAGAGCAGATGACTGAAAAGCACATGGAGGAGCTAAAAAGGGAAACTAGAGACAGGCTAGTAGAGGGTGAGAAGGTGAGAACAGGAGAGGTGCTGGGCTGTCTGAAGCAGAAGAGAGGAAGACTGTGGTAGTGGGTAAGAGGGGCAGGTAAAGAGACTGCTTGAGTTCAGTGCTGAGCTGAGACACGATGGACTAGTCTAGGAGAAATATTTACTAGGAAAGTCAGGAGTTGTGGCACGTGTTTGTAATCCTACCTGTGACAGGAGGATTATTCCAAATTTGACATTAGCATATACTAGGATATACAATGGATCCCAGGGCAGTCTGGACTACACAGTAAAACCCTTCCAAAAATAAAAAAAATAAAAGAGCAGGCCTTCAAAATGACTCAAGACATGCCCCACAAGCCTAGCCTCCTACTTCAGTCCCCAGAACCCGAATCTAAGTGGAAGAACCAATTCTGCAATCTCACCTCCTGATTCCACACGTGTGCTATGGCTCACCCCTACCGCTTGACATCCCACATCATGCATGATAATACTTTTTAAAAAGAGAGGGACATGGATCTGGAGAGATTGTTTAGCAGTTACAAGCACTGGCTGCTCTTGGAGAGAACCCACCTATGCGGTGGCTCACAAGAGCTGAAACTCCAGTTCCAGGGGATCAGACGCCCTCTTATGGCCGCCACAGGTACTGCATGCTGTGATGTACCGCCAGCATGCTGGCTTACACATAAAAATAAAATCTTGGTGTGTGTGTTGGGGGGGAGGGGCGTGAGGTCTCGGTCTTCATTTCTTTCTCTTGTGTCCCTCTTTCTTCCCTCTCCTCATCTTTTTCCCTTTGCCTCCCCATTTCCTCCTTCCTCATAGCTAAAGAATGCTACTGGTATAAAAAATAAAAATTAAAAAAAAAAAAAAAAGAGTGCTCCTTGGGGGGAAAAAGGGCAAGATAATCCCAGGACTTGGAAGCAGAGGCAGGCAGATCTCTGTGACTGCAAGACCAGCTGGGCTACATAATGAGACCCTGTTTTTGTTATGGTTGTTTGTTTTTAATGGTACTGGCAGAGAGATGCAAAGTACAGTTTGGGAATTTCAAGTATGGAGGCAGCACTGTGAACTGGCTGCAGATGGGGTCACTCAGAGTTCTGGGATTGAGAAGACTCACAAGTCAAAGGTTAGGGCCACGTGCTCAAGTTTAAGGCCAGCTTAGGCTATACAGCAAGATCCTGTCTCAAAAAGAAAGGGGGTGGCTGGGAAGGTGGCTCAGTGGTTCAGAGCAGTTATTACACAGCATGAGGACCTGAGTTCAAATCCCACATACCCATGAAAATGCCACCTGATGTGGCTACACACACCCATCACCTTAAAACTGCTGGAGAGGTGGCTCAGGGGTTAAGAGCATTGGCTGCTCTTCCAGAGGACCCGGGTTCAATTCCCAGCACCCACATGACAGCTCACAACGGTCTGCAACTCCAGATCCAGGGATCCGACACCCTCACACAGACACATGCAGGCAAAATACCAATGCACATAAAATAAAAGTAAATCAATTTAAAAAAAAACTGTAGGGAGTGAGCTGGATGGTGGTGGCACACGCAGTACTCGGGAAGCAGATGGATCTCTGAGTTTGTGGCCAGTCTGATTTACAGAGTGAGTGCCAGCATCGGCTACACAGAGAAACCCTGTCTGGAAAAACAAAACAAACAAAAAGACTGTAGGGGGTGGAGATAGGAGGATCACTTGGGCTCAAGATACGAGCCTAGCTCCAGATTCAGCAAGAGAGCCAGCCTCAAGGGAATAAAGGACAGAGGGTAGCACAGGCCCCCTGACATCCTTCTTTGGCTTTAGAGTCCATGCACACTCATGCACACGTACACACACACACACACACATGCAAACACTGCATGTGATATCAGAGGCATTGAGAGGAGACAGTTTTGAAGTGGAAGTAGTGAGCATTCTCATGTCAAAGGCTGTGAATAAATGCTCAAACGTCTGGACCCTCACTATCGAGCTGTCATTTCAAGGCTATGGTCCTGAAGCTGGAATGCCGCAGGAGAGCCACACCCAGGACAGACTGGGATGAGGATTATGTTGGACAGGTGAGTGGATCTAGTCAGTGTGGACAAGAAGAGAGAAGCGTTAGGGAAAAAGGCAGCGGAGATGATAGGAAGAGAGGGGCGGACACCTGGTCCCTCGGTGTGGAGGGGTGGGAAGGCTGGCAACCAGTGATTCAGCTTCAGCCTGGTGCAGGGCTAAAGAGCTGGCTGCCTAGCAGACAGGAGACCCTGGGTACCATCCCCAGCGCAGCAAAAGCCCAAAGTCCCGATTAACAAGTGACAGAATCCTTAACACGGGGCACATTAAATCTAGAAGTATACCAGTGAGCATGGCAGCGAGAGTGAGCATTTCATCCACACAGTTAAACTCGCATGAGGCCAGCAGGGCTTTGGCCAGCTCAGGGGGCAGGGGAAATTCTGACAAGATGATTCCCAGGTCCGACAGGTCCCCATTGTCATCCAAAGCAGCCAGATAGTCTAAGTCTTCCAAGGCCTGCATCAGTGCTTCTGGAGCTGATAAGGACACAGGGCTTAGACATCACAAGCAGTCAGAGCCACCCTGCAGTCAGAGCTGCCCTGGGGCAGGGTGGGGGCTCACCAGGCCGGTCCAGGAAGTGGCATTCCCCTGGTTCTGCAATCTGTTTCCTCATTAGTAGCAACACCAGGGAGCTCAGATTCTCTTCATACACTTTGGGGTAGGGAAGCGGGGGAGCCTCTAGTTCTAGGTTGGACTTAGAGTACAGGCGGAGGCAGGATCCTGAGAGGAGAGAGGCCTGCGGAAGTAGATTCTTGGGGCTTGTATGGAGTTTTTGTTTTGTGTGAGGACAAAGGCTCTTACCTGGTGGGGATCCCCTGGCCCGAAGTAGTCTTGCCTCTGCCTGACACTTGCTAATTGGTCTCAACACCTGGGATTCTGCCCGGATCCGAGGATTATAAACCTGTCATCCAGCCCCCAAACAAGGCCAAGCCAGATCAGAGTGGTCCATTTCTATCTGAGGCTCCACTCCCCCTCATTTCTCTCACTCACACTGCGAAGTTCCCGTCCTGAGTCAATGACATGCTGGATGGAAGGGAGAGAGAAGGAGAAGTCTGCCAGCCAGTGAGTGACCACGATCTTCTGGACACTCCTGCCTGTGTCCTCATACACAGCCTGGACAGCTTGACCACAGCCTGGGTGAAGGGGCAGTATCCGTGGTGGAGGCCCCGGGACAGCCAGCACCCCCAACTCCCTGGACAAGGTTTCGCAGCATAGGGAAATTTCCTGAGGAGACGGGTGGAACATTAGAGCAGTTCCTACGTTTCTGGGGGTGAGATGGGCAGAGCACAGACCTTTTAAACAAACTGACGAAAGCTAAGGCCCTTCATTCTGAGAACACACTCATACTTCTGAAGCTGGGGGCGTCCTAACTTCAGCTTTCTGTGCACAAAGTGCTGCATTATAAGGAACTTAAAAAGTGGTGGCAGGGTTCTTTATTCTGAAGTCCTTGATCCTCACGCCAAGACTCCAGCAGAGAGTAAATACAACTACTATTCCTAAAGTGTTGCCCTGGGACAGGAAGGCAGCATAGGAATGTTTCTCATAATCCAAGTTTTCCTTTTGTTTACCTCCTCACTGGGCAGGTACACCAGCACATCTCCTGGAGCCTCTTCCTGTCGATACAGCTCAAGCACAGCTTGGCAGGCAGCTTCCACTAGGTCAGTAGGGACAGTGTCCTTGTAGGTAAGGGTGGGATTTTCACCAGCCTCTCTGGGTACACGCACAATAGGAGAATTGCCCCAGAAAGCTTGGAGTTTGGGTTCAAGGGCTGGGTCAGTAACCACAATCACTCTGGGATCCCCTGGGAGGTCTCTCAGTCTGGTGTCTCGCAAGAGCCCCTGCAGTAAATCTGAGGCCACTGACCGCTCCTGAGCCTCATCCAGTATCAGCACACTCCAGGCTCCAGGGCCTCGGGTTGAGGCTACTTCCTGTAAAAGTAGCCTGTCCCAGCAGAACCTGTTGACATTGGTAGTGGGCAGGGAGTCAGTGTGGACATAGCAGGCCCAAGTCCAGGTACTTTTCCCCAAGGTGCCTAGATTCTGATACTGAAGGTCAGAAAACGATGTTTTCATCAACTTCCTAAGCCTATGGACCACTAAGTGTGACCCCTAGCTCAGCTGGGGACACTTGGTTTACACACTACATCCTCTCTCTTGTGGAGAGGGCGAGGTTTGCACCCCAGGACTCAGGGCAGGTTAAACTGGGGGTATGAGGAGGTGCCAGACAACTCGGTTTGTCTCCACTCGGTAATGGGAAGCAGCCTTGGACCAGACTGCAAATGGCCCACCTGAGCATGGTGTTGGGCCCAGTGCAGTCCTCCTGTGGGATGCTGTATCCGATCTCATGACCCAGGGTCAGGTCCATCTCATCAGCCACCCTTGAAGCCAGGCTCACGGCTGCTAGAGGGTAGGGCTGAGTGACTATAACCTGGCCTGTCTGGAATCCCCTGGCCAGTGCAAACTCTGCACACCATTGAGGAATCTGGGTAGAGAAAGGGAAGGACCACTGGTCAGGGCGTCAGAGGCCTTCTGACCAAAGTGCTGTTGGAACTATGGCCAGTTGAATTGGGATCCCTGAATCTTGACTACCCACTGGGGTCAGCCAAACCCACCTTCCTTTGGTCGTCTCTCCCACATCCCCATTCTTTACCCAGGAAAAGGCATTTAACCCTGCCCTCTGTCCACTCCCAGAATCTTCCTCCACCTGGGTGCTCTTGCCAGAGCCGGGCTCCCCAGATACCAGCACCACTCCAGTGGGGCTATTCTCCAAATGCTCCAAGAACAGGAATCGAGCAGCCCAGATGGGCAAGGCTCTTCGCTGCTCAAGTAGCTCATAGTAGCAAGAAGAGAAGGGAAGCCCATCAAAGGGGTTCACAGCCAGTTCAGACTCCCCAAGACTTGGTTCAGACTCTTCTGCCAGCCCAGAGGCCATGGTGGCTGTCCATAGAACCTGCGGAAAGCAGGGCAGCCAGTTAAGGCTTTAGATCTGGTGACTGACACCAAATTTCTCTCAGCTTGATTCTCAATCTCAACCCAGAGGAAAAAATGCCTTGGGGCCCATCCTTCCCAGCGGTACTTGCTTTCCGGGAAACAATGCTGGGTGTTTCTAAGGGGCCATCACAAGTGGACTTTTACCCTGCTTGTGGTTGAGCAGTAAAGATCCGTGACTAGCACAGGAGCCCTTGGGGAAGCAGGAACTACCATTAGCAAAGTAATCTGTGGGAAGGACCCAAGGTGGGGAAAAAGCATGAAATTTGGAAAAGAGAGAGTGGGATATCTCTATAATGATCCTGGATTCAAACCTGCCAGCAGCTCTGAGACGCGTCAGTATGGCAGCCAGTTCTGGACACACCCAGCCAGGCACCACCAACCCAGGCCTGCCTGGAGTACAAAGGTGAATTCCAGCCCCACCCCAAGACTGAACTCAAAATCCAATCCAGTAGCTTCATCTCTGGGGGTGGGGCCTTTTGCTCCACCTTGGTTAACTTAGCTAGAAGAACCTATGAAAAGCAGGTTCCTGCTGCCACACTGAGCGTGTATGAACGTGACAGGTTTGTGCTCGTGAAAGGTATTCTGGGACTTGCAACCAAGCAAGGATCCAGTTGTTTTGGCTTCAGTTTAGCATGAGCTAATTTCACAGTTCCATTCTGACCATCCTCACCACATACTCCTCAACCAAGGAAAAGGAACCTGCTCGAGGGGCTTTTGAAACCCAGAGAGGCAACAGAGACCTTGAGTGGAAACCCTGAATTTAATGTGAGATTGGGGGAGCCCCATCCCTCCCTTTAACCACCCACTCATCCGGCCTGTTGTTAGCTGGGTGAGGGCTGCCCCAGTCTCCGTCCTGCGGCTCTGGGTACCATCCTGTTCCTTTGGGTTCAGTCAGCTTCCTGGGCCTGTCTCTCTCTGAATCTCCTGTGGGACATGGGGAGAGATAGTGTGTAGGCTTTGTCATATCAGCTTCATCAGGCCTTTCTCCAACTTGTTTCTTCCTACACATTGTCCTGTAAACCTCTCACCTTCTTGCATATTCATACAGTGCCTGCTTGCGCTCCTGCAGGCTCTCCTGACGGGCCCAGGAAGACTTGGCAAATGTTAGGGCTGTGGGCTGAGGGGTCACCAGGCCAGAGCTGGGGAACTGAGGTGATCACAATGTCAGAGGGCTTGCGAAGTCATCATCATTAAACACCCATCGAATGCCTACTTTGCAAGAGAGGCACTGTGCTAGGGTCTCAACAGCACAAGAGAAGTCAGGGAGAGGGAGCAAAGAGACTGCCCCGACGTACCCTTAAGTCTTGGCCTTGACTAATCCTGGGCCTCACCTTTGGGGCAGAGGCTGTGGCCAGGGCTGGAGTTCCCACAGTGACGTCTTCAGGCATGAAAGCCACTGCCCCCTCAAGCAGATTTGTGATGGTCAAGTCTACACACCCCGTCTTGGCTAGGAAGAGAGGATCGGAGGGTCCATTCCCTGTACACCTTCTCTGGCACAACCCAATTTCCCCGTGTCTGTCATTCTGTGAAGCTACCCTTTCCCATACCCAGGTCTGTCTGGATGACATTCAGTGGCACATGGGGCAAGACCTCCTTGACTCTTTGAGCCAGCGTTGTCAGCTGCACATCAGAAGGAGGGCTGGGAGAAGGGAAAGAAGACTGCACTGTTTTAAAAAAAACAAACAAAACAAACAAACAAAAGGATCAGCTGAGTGGAGAACCAAGAAAGAGGTGGGCCAGGGTAATTAGGTAAGCACAACCACCATCCGGAGCCAACATCTGTGTGCACAGGGACCACACACCTGACTGGGGGCGTAGTCTGGGGTGTCTTTGTCGCTTCATGTGCTCCGCTTTGTCTGCTGGAGTGAGCCGTGTCCCTATCTGGCCCAATTCTTTGGCCACCAGCTAGGGAGAATTGGAAGGTTGTAACTGTAGCCTCTTCAAGCTTTCTTATCCCTTGACCCTGAAGAGGGACCCCACCTCCACCATGCCCATGTCCACTACCACCTGTTGTACACGAAGCGCAAACTCTTCATTCTCTTCCCCAAGCTGCCGATGAACGGGATGAAGCCACCTGCAAAAAACAAAGCCCTGCCCTGCTAAGGCACCCAGAGATAAGGGTATCATCCCTTCCTCATTTTTCTTGAACAGTGGCAGTGAGAGTTGGGAGATGGTGGACAAGTGTGGCTTCTGGGGTGGAACTGTGACATTAACAAGTCCACAGACACACAGGGCAGAGGTCACTACTTCCTTGATCTTGAAGTGAGCATCTTCCCAGCCACCAAAAACTGAGGACAGTTAGTACCTTACTTGATACACCGTGAAAGGGACGAAAAATGACCACAGCAGTTCTGAGACCCAGGAGGCATCTGACACCGTCTGAGTGGAGGCATGAAGTGAGGCTTAAGTCAGGGCCAGAAGCAGGGAAAATTTCCCTCCAAACTTCCCTGTCCAGCATGCACTCACCACAGAGACCAGGGGTCTCTGAACTTGCAGGGTAAGAGGTTGTACCACATCCTGGATAGAAAATGGCCAGGAACTAAGAAAGAAAGAGTAGAAAGGGAGGTCAGCCTAGCCCAGCCAACAACTCGTACCTGACTTAAACCAGGAAAACTGTCCAACTACAGAAGCAGATAACCGAGGAATTAAGGAATTAATCATTTCGGGGGCAGGACTGAAGGTGGGCAGATAGGAAATGAACTAGGGCAGGCTCACCCAGGAGCCTGGCAACTCACTCAACTGGGTCCAGATACCTGCGTGCTAACCCACCTGAAATGCAGGAGCCCCTCTCGGCCATTGGTGGCCTCTTCCTCGGGGAAGAGCAGCAAGGGTGTGGGCGGAAACCTCGTGGAAGCACAGAATTTCTTGAGTGACTCCACCAACTCCACCCGCCTATCCATCTCCATGAAGCCCCGAGACCAACACACAAAGCTGGGGGGACTGTTGAGTAGAGGCTGAGAACAGGAAGGAGAAAAAGCAAGAAGAAAAGAATGGGGGGGGGTGTCAAAAAAAGAAAGAATGAAGAAGAGAACACGTGGGGTGGCGTTTATGAGACGAGGGGAACGGCTCAGTATTCCCCAAGAGAACCCCAACGGGTAAAGGTGAGCCTTGAGCTCAGGCCTAGGGAGCCACCCGGTGGCGCTCTCGGCCTCGCCCCTCACTCACGGTGCTACAGGTGGTGAGCAGGTTGACTATGTTGTGGTCAAAAGGTGTGACATGGTTGGAAATAAGGACCCTGACGCGGTGATCCCGGAGTCCAGTGTCCTCCTGCCGGGCCACGAGCCCCAGTACGGCACACATGGTCCGCACCACGAACCTGGGGACACAGGCGGCGGTGACTGCGCGGTCTCGAGCCAGGCCCGGCCCGGACGCTCCCCGGGCACCACAGTCCGCACCTGCGGAAGACGCTGTCAGGCAGCGCACAGCTGACCAGGAAGACGTGGAGCCCGAGGAAGAGGCGCAGAACCAGGAGGCAGAGGCCGACCGGCGCGTAGAGCAGCAGCGCGAGCAGCAGGAAGCCGTCACTCGGGAGCCTGCGGCGAGAGGCGACGCGATCAGGCGCCGAAGGCGAGAGGACGCGCGGACCGGTCTCTTCCCTCCGCAGCGCTTACCGGTGTGAGTCAAAGAGCCGCTCCGGCCCCGGAGCTGGGGGAGGTTCCATCGCAGCCACCTCAGGAAAGCGGGGCCGCCGTCGCCGCCATCTTCGCAGGGCCGCGGGGGCTCCTGGGAAGGCGGAGTCTTTGGGCATCCGCGGGGATGCCAGGACCCGAGGCCCGGAGGCGCCCCGGAAGGGCTTGCGCTCCCAAAATGCCTTGCGGCCCGGAGGAACGTGTGTGTGTGTGTGTGTGTGTGTGTGTGTTTGTGTGTGAGAGACGCCTGAGAGAGCGCGTCCTGAAGGGACTACACTTCCCGGCATGCACTGAACAGATACCGGCGTACCTCGCTTCTCCCAGTCGGCTTGCTGCGCTCTAGAGCACCGCCTCTGAGAAGGGCGGGCGAGGACAGTGCCAAGGCGGAGCTGATGGCTGCGCTGAAGGCGGGGCGGGGTGCAGGCTGGAGCCTTCGGGTTTGGCGGGCTTTGGGGGGCATCTTCTGGGGGAAAGGCCCCCTGTTCACCCCTGACCTCCGGGCTCTGCTGACGTCAGGAACTCGAACTCCTGAGCCTCAGGCCCGGTTGACTTCTGGGACCCCCAGTCTCCCGGCCCGGGTGCCTGTGGGGGTCCTTGCATCACGGGCATGTCTGACGTCTGGGACCCCGGATCTCTGGGAAGGACTGACTGTGGGGACTCCAGGCTCCAGTGCCCAGCGGGCCTGCAGGAGCCTCGGAGCCCGTCGGCGCGAATGGCTGGCGGTAGCGGTGGGAGCAGGGGGTGCTGCGCTGCTGCTGTTGTGGGGCTGGGGGCGGGGTCCTCCCTCGGTGCTGGCCGCAGTTCCCGCTCCGCCACCCACGTCTCCCCGGAGCCAGTACAATTTCATCGCTGATGTGGTGGAGAAGACAGCCCCGGCTGTGGTCTATATCGAGATCCTGGACCGGTAATGGAGCAGCTGGCCGGGTGGTGTTGAAACCTACTGCAAGCAAGTGAGGCAAGCGAGCAGATGGGGTGGAAGCTGCAGTGTAACCGGTGCTCTCCCCATCCCAGGCACCCTTTCTCCGGCCGTGAAGTCCCCATCTCAAACGGCTCGGGATTCGTAGTGGCTTCAGATGGGCTCATCGTTACCAACGCCCACGTGGTGGCTGATCGGCGGCGAGTGAGAGTGAGGCTGCGTAGCGGAGACACTTACGAGGCCATGGTCACAGCTGTGGATCCCGTTGCAGACATTGCTACGTTGAGGATTCAAACCAAGGTGAGGATGGAGTAGGCCAGATCTGATGGCCTCTGTTAACTTGCTCCCTTCTTAAGGTGACCGGTCTTGGTGTCTTCATTTCCCTTCAGGAGCCTCTTCCCACACTGCCCCTCGGCCGCTCTGCTGATGTCCGGCAAGGCGAGTTTGTTGTTGCCATGGGAAGTCCCTTTGCACTGCAGAACACCATCACATCTGGCATCGTCAGCTCTGCTCAGCGTCCAGCCAGGGACCTGGGACTTCCTCAGACCAACGTGGAATACATTCAGACTGATGCAGCTATAGATGTGCGTCCTGATAGGAGAGAAATTAGGAGCTAGGTTGGAATTGGGGAGGGCAGCTGTCTGGCGTGGGCACCAGCTGACTTGCGGGCTGCAAGATACAGCCACTGTAGTTCATGGGCTGAGAATGGAATTTGAAGTATCTCCCTACACCCTGTTTTGGCTAGTTATACAATTCCCAGAGGCATAGAATTCCAGATCTCTTTGATGTTTTCTTTCATCTTATCCCACAGTTTGGAAATTCTGGTGGTCCCCTGGTTAACCTGGTAAGTGCCATGTTCTCCTAAGAATCCAGTGTGGGAAAGGTGTTTTCTCTCTCTCTCTCTCTCTCTCTCTCTCTGATTCAAGGACTTTAGTTAAGCTTTTGTAGTCTCTCGATCATCTCCTCGTATCCAGCCAGACCCCTGCCCCCAAGTCCTCGCTCCTTTTGTTGAGGTGCCCTCTCCTCTGCCATCTGTGTGGGCTAGGGGACAGGGGCTGTGTCCCTGCAGGACGGGGAGGTCATTGGAGTGAACACCATGAAGGTGACAGCTGGAATCTCCTTTGCCATCCCTTCTGATCGCCTTAGGGAGTTTCTGCATCGCGGGGAAAAAAAAAGTGAGCCTGTCTTACAGGGAAGGGTTCCTTTCTAATGGAGGAATGCCCTAATGGAGGACGGGGCACGGGGAGGGGCACTCATTGGGACGTGGTGTAGAGGGTTTCCTGGAGGAGGGGAGGGAAAGAAGGATGTAAAGGGGTGGGCTTATTTGTCCTCTTCTTACAGATTCCTGGTTTGGAATCAGTGGGTCCCAGCGCCGCTACATAGGGGTGATGATGCTGACTCTGACTCCCAGGTATGCTTGGGGTCGTGACATACGGGACCACCAGTGTGCTCAGTGGTGGACAGCTGGACTCTCTTCTGGGGTTTGCTCTCATGTCTGTCTTTATCTAAGACGAGCTGTTGCCTGCTTTCACAGAGCTGCTCCCTCTCATCATAGCTTTCTCATCCTACTGCATCTTGTACCCTTTCACCTGATTGCATCTTGTTAACGTCTGTGATTTACAGCTTCCGTTGATCTAGCATTGAAGAACTCTTTCCACCTGTCTCTAATTAGCCTTCTAGACTCTGCTTGTCATTTCTCCAGGACTGCTTTGATTTCCCACTTTTGTGTCTTAACACCACTATTTTGTATAGGTGATAGGACCTACCCACCCTTCTAGGTCCCTTCCTTGTAGTAGAATTCCAGAATGACAGAAGTGTAGTTGATTTAACAGTGTGTATCATTTGGATTAGCTATCTTTTTTATGTGTATATCTAAGCTCTAGAAGGTAGAAAGTGAACTCTCAAGACAGGAGAGAGTCAGTCTGTAGCTAACAGTGGTCTGTGCCCTTTCAGCATCCTTGCTGAACTACAGCTCCGAGAGCCAAGCTTCCCTGATGTTCAGCATGGCGTCCTCATCCATAAAGTTATCCTGGGCTCCCCCGCACACAGGTGATGGAGAACGAGCCCTGTGAGTGGTGCGGTATGGTGTGCACGGATCCCTGAACCCAGCTGTCTACTCCTTCCTCACCCTGTCCATCCTCCACAGGGCTGGTCTGCGGCCTGGTGATGTGGTCTTGGCCATTGGGGAGCGTATGGTACAAAATGCTGAAGATGTGTATGAAGCTGTTCGAACCCAGTCACAGCTGGCAGTGCGGATCCGGCGGGGATCAGAAACATTGACCTTGTATGTGACCCCTGAGGTCACAGAATAACTGGACTAGCAAGACTACTAAGCTCTGGCTGATTTCCTCCTTGCCTTCCTAGCCTAGGCTCTACGTGTACCTGGGCAGAGGACTCAATGGACCTATGGAGGGCAGGTCCCTCTAACCACTGGCACAAGTCCTGGGCTCTGAAGAACACATTTTATATAAAATAAAATTATACCTAGCAACATGTTACAGTCAAAAATAGGGGGCTGGGTCTTTTTCCCCACCAAAAGGCTAGAGGTAACGCGGTACTTAGGAGAACTGAGACTGTGGGAGCTGACCCTCCTGACATCCCTGATCAAGGGAATGAGCTGCTCCTCTCCTGTGGGGGGCAGTTCTTTGTGGTGTGTTCTGTGTTGCTGGCTCTGTTCGCTGATTCTCCGTGCTTGGCCAAGGGTTATGACAGCTGGCCCTGTGAGGGAGGCACCAACCTCTCTAGAACAGTCCATCACTCATAGAGCACAGATGGATGACTGTAGTGGGCCTGCTGACATCAGGGGTTCTTGTGGTAAGCTCCTGAGGTAATGGCAGCCTCAGACCCCTGCCATTGGGGGCCACTGGTGGTTTGCAGAGAGGGTGGTTGCATTTCAGACGATCTGGTTGCTGGTCTGGCCAGGGTAGCGCTCAAACCTCCTGTTGGCTTCTTCACTGAAGGCATCACCTGCAGAGTAGACAAGCACTGTGAGGGGCTCTCCCTGCACAGAGGCAGGAGCACATGGCCGTCATAGGGAATGGTGGGGAGACGCAGCAAGCACTTAGGGAAATGAGAGCTGCTCCCTCCTGTCCTCCACTTAACCCTCCATCACTCACCAATGTGGCAGTTATGCACCCAGATACGATGTCCGTCATATTTGCAGTTGCATTTCATTGCATTGTTGGTAAAGTCACTCTCTGCTACCTCAAAATTTGGGTTGATCACCACCTGTGAATTAGGAAGAAAGCTGGTGTCAGCCAGCTGCACCCCTCCAGGTCAAAGGTGCCATCACCCCCACAACCCCGGTATCTGAAAGCCCAGGCAGATGTCAGGCACCTGGAGAATGTAGTTTCCTGGTTTCACATCTGTGATGTCAATCCACTGGCAGTCAATATCATGTCTGTAGAGATCCCAGCATCCTACGGTGATGCCCTGCTCTCCAAAGTTGGCACACTCGTACCTCTTTGAGACATCTAAAGGGAATATTATATGTCAGTGAAGGGCAAGGCTGTGCCTCGGCTTAAGTCCACTCTGGCCCCAACTCACCCTCCTGACACTCAGTGTCTTCTAGACAGAAACTAGCTTTGTGGCCCTCAGCCACCTTCGTGCCGTTGGGGGTCAGGATGTCATAGTGAGTGAAGATGTCCATACTGTGGTAATGCCTGCGGGACAAGGGGACTTGTGATTCTTTCCCAGACCCCAGCAGGCTTGTCACATCCCCTGCGGCCTTGCCTTTTTCTTGCCCTTCTGCCCTCTCACCCATGGCACTCATGCCACACCCAGGAATGGCGCCCAGCCTTGGGCCTAAAGTCAGCTCTTCCTAGGTTGTGGATCTGGGAAGAGAATCTGAGCAGACGCCGGTGGCCGTAAGGCCAGTTGGCTGAGCGGGCGGAGCTGGCCAGGCAGTTCTCCTCAGCAGCACAGTATAACATGTGCAGCGGCCGGTCTTCGATATAGGCAGTCTCCTGTACCAATGCCGAATGCAGCAGCAGATCCGAAGCGGCTGCGCGAGGGAAGAGTGACGGCAGTTACCACTCAGGGCGCGCCTCTCACCTGATGGGAGACTGGGTTCCCTCGTGCTCAAGGAGAGCCCTGCAGCTCACAGCACATCCCCCTCCAAATGAGAGCCTTCTTCTCTAGCTCACACTGCCCACTCACTTTCAGAACAGATGACTCCTGCAGTGAAGCGGGTTCCTGTCCTCTTGCAGCTGATGTGGGTGCTATGGTGGGCACATTGGTTCAGGGACAGCTCAGACCCTGTGCAACGCACTCCGCTCATCACCACTTCAGTTACATTCCCTGAGTCCCAATACCAGGTCTCCTGAGGATGTAGGCAGGCGCTTTGGTGACAGATCATAGGTTGCAGTTTCCAGGGCCGGGGACTTGTTTTCACAGCCCTTTGCCCAGAGCACAGACTTTGGTGGCGACAGCTTCAGTCCCCTCCCCTCCTTACTTACCTGCAGGCCGTGGTTAGCGTAGCCCAGACCAAGTTGTCTGCAGGCCACCATGGCCTCCAGTGTTCCCCAGTCATCCCCACAGATGAGGCCCCAGCGAAGGTGCCCAGGCACCCCTATTTGCACTTCGACTCGCCCTTCATAACGGCTGCGGCCCCCGCTGAGTCGGATCTGTAGAAGTACAGAGTGGAAGAGGTAGAGGGGAACTTTGGAAATGGCAGTCTCCAGCAGGGAGCGGTGACAGGGCCAGCGGGTGGCGTGGTTCCGTAGGAGCTGTAGGGTGTCCGGGCCTGGGATAAAGGGTTGGATGCAGCTACACTGTGTTTGGAGGCCAGGCCTGGGTAGAAAGACCCAAAACAGAATGTAGGACTGACCTTAGTCTCCACCCCAGTATAGGGGAGGTTGCATCGGACACCTGCATCTTGGCTGTGGGAACAGTCTTCAGCTGTGATGTTCTTGGAGGGGCACTTCCAAAGGGAGGGTTCCTGGCCAGAACACCGAACTTCACTCAGGTGGATAGCACCCATGCCTAGGGTCAGAAGTCAAGGCTGAGGAGGCGGCAACTAGACCTTCGCAGCCCAGAGGACCCACATCTTCCCAAGGAACTATTCCTAGTAGTGTGAGCCTCCTCGCCCCTCACCCTGCCCCATGCGGGCACCGCTCAGGGCCTCTCGAGCAGTGCCAAAGCCCAGCTCTCGACACACCACACTGGCTGCCTGCAGGTCCCACTTTTGGTCACAGACTGTCCCCCACGTGCCAGCCTTCAGGACTTCCACTCGGCCCTCTCCCGGGTGGGCACCACCCTTTAGGCGCACACGGGCCTGTAGAAGAAAGACATGCCCAGAGTGAATGGAGACATTGGCTTGGGGAGGGCTATGTAACCCACGTTACTGATGAGGTTTTTATGATAGTGGGTGGCATCAGGTCTGTGGCGCAGCCACTGGAAGGCTCCCTGTCTTCAAAGGTCAAGGCTGTGCTCAGTGAGTAGAGGCTAGGCTAGGGAGTTCCCACCTGGGTGAGACAAGGCCGAATTCACTGTCTTAGGCTAGGATGTGCAGCTGAATGGTAGGTTTGCTGTGTGTGTGTGTGGGGGGGCTGGGGTTCAATCCCCAATACTGCAGAATGAAAACATTTATCGTCTCACATACCTCCCCCTGCGGCTTAGACTGTTGGTGCTTCTTCTGACCAGTAGCGGTGGAGTAGAGAGGGCCCGGCACACAGCTCACCACTGCAGGGCTTCCCCCAGAGCACCTGGTAGTGTCATTGGCATGATAAAACTCCAGCGAACAAAGGGAGAGGTGGGCTTCTGTGCCCACACAGGCTACGCTGTGCAGACCAAAGGAGTGTTGCTTCTTTTGGGCCAGCATCCTATGGGGACAGAAGTGAGGTGCAGTAGGGTGAGGCCAAGTTCTTGACCCCTGCTCCACAGCCATCTGCCACTTCACCTCCTCACCATCCCCCAATCGCCCATGGCTGCTTATTCCTCTTCTTCCTCTTCTCTGTTTTCCTTGGGGGAAGGCAGGGTTGCCTAGTATGTAGTATGAAAGGGCTTTGGCTGCCCAGTCAGGGTCTGTGAGGGTCTTTCTGCAGCAGAACCCTAGGGCCTGGGTGGCCAGGCTTGACAGCAATCTTGTTCTTTTGTTGTTGTTTGTTTTTTGAGACAGGGTTTCTCTGTGTAGCCTTGGCTGTCCTAGAACTAGCTTTGTAGACCAGGCTGGCCTTGAACTCACAAAGATCTGCCTGCCTCTGCCTCCTCCTGGAGTGCTGGGATTAAAGGCGTGCACCACCATCCAACTGCAACCTTGTTCTTATGACCTAAAGGAAGGCTGAGGCCGAGGCCAAGGCAGCCATTGCAAATCTGATGGGAAGCCAAGATCCAAAGGGAAGCCAGAAGAGATGGCTCTGAAGGAGTGGCTGACACAAACAAAACTGACCTGAATAGCCAGTGAGCAGACCCTTCTATTATTGCTCTAACCGAACAACCCAAATGACACTGAGCCAGGATGCAAGGTACTGAGGAAGTCTGCATCTAAATAGCTTCTTAGAGGCCAGTGGGGCTTCCAGGTTAGAAGCCATGTCATAATATGTCAGACAGGTATGGCCATAGACTAGAAGATGGCAGTAGAAAGAACTAGCAGTGACTCTGTCTGGAACAAAGACAAATGCAAGACAGACAAAAGCTGGAGGGACTAAGCCTGGGGAGGTGGCACATGCCTGTAATTCCAGCACTTGGGGAGGCAGAGGTGGGCAGATCTTTGAGAGTTAGAGGCCAGCCTATTCTACAAGGCGAATCCAGGACAGTCAAGTTTGGCTACACAGAGAAACCCTGTCTGGAAAAAAAAAAAGTACTTTCAGTATCCTGTTTGGCTGAAAATCAAAGTCAGACCATCCCAGGAAGAGACACATAACTTCTAAATTCTCTTATATTTGTGGTTGTGAGCCTAGCCTTTAATGGCTGAGCCATTTTTATAGCCCCTTCTAAAATCTCTTACCTACTTCTGTAATCAATAAAAAGTGGCAGTGCATGCTTTAATGTGAGGGATCAGGGAAGGAATCAAAGGATGGTTATGTTGGGCAAAGATAACCCAAACCAAAGAGCTTGTACTCATCAAGTTCTGAGCTCTACGACAGCTCCTGGGGACAGAAGCCCACAACAAGTGAGCCATACTATGGGGGTGAGGTGGGGAACATTGGAACTTGGTGGGGAGAGGAGGGGACAATGGAAGGAGGCCTTCTTCAGGCCTCACAGGTCATCAGGCAAGTTTTAGTGGTGCTGCCTGCCTTTTAAAGACAAGCTGCATGGAAGAGTTGGAAGTTTCCTACTTCCTTGAATTCTGAGGGAGCCCAGAAAGAAAATACATTAACTCGATGCCTAACTATGAAGAGGTAGCCAGGTGGGGGCTGTACTTCTTAAGCCATCCCTAGAAAGGTTCCCTAGGCCACCCTCCACACCAGATAAACTAGAAATGTTTACTTAAAACAACAACCATAAAACCCTTTAGTTATGTGTATGTGTCTTGAGTGTCAGTTTATGCACATGACTGTAGGAGCCTGAGGAAGCCAGAGGGGGGCGTCAGCACCACACCCTCTGGAGCTGAAGTTAAAGGCAGTTAGTTGTGACTTGCCTAATGTGGGTACTGGGAATTCAGGTCAGGTTCCCTGGAAGAGCAGTATATACTCTTAGAACCATTGAGCCATCTCTTCATCCCCTAGTAATATTTACTTAAAAAATGGAAATTAGAAGCACTCATCAAATAAAGCAGGAACATCTCTTGGGCACAGGAAAGGCGGGTGCAAGACAGAAGTGTTAGATTGCCTGTTGGAAGGGAGATAGCCACAGGGGGTAAGAAACAGAAGTCTGTGACTAACAGTCTCCGGAGACCCACATCACAGTGACTTCCTTCCATTTCTGGAGAGACCTGGAAGGTGTTTGTCACAGCTGCCACTCCACCTCTCCTCAGCTCCATCAGTCCAACAGGCCCGCCTTAGACCCTTTCCTGGTCGCAGCCCTGTCCCCGTCCACCCTGCTTCCTTTCTGACTCCAACCCCAACTTCATTTACCTCTTGCTTGGCCCCCTGCCCACTTGGGGCTTGTGTTTGACTTTAAACTTGTTGGTTGGTCTGCAAAAAGGAGAAAGGTGTTGGTAGAGGAGGTGGTTGAGGATGTGGCCCAGGCAAAGTGAAGCATTCTGCTTTTAGAAGGACCCATTTGTTCACAGTATGGGGAGAGCAACTGCATTCCCTGCACACAAAGACTGTGGAATGCCACAGGAGGGCACACACTTAGCAACTCCTGATGCTCACTGGAGTTAGTGCTACTAAAGGCAAATCTAGTGATGGAAATCCAGGTGAGGGCGAGGAGAGGAGGTCAGCTGAAGGTCAAGGGAGAAGAGCGTGGAAATGTTCCTGGACCAAGAGAGATGAACTGGGAGTGGGGATGGGTGGGGAGAAGGGGAAAGCAGGGGCTGAAGCTGCAGTGGCAGCCCTTTTGGGAACAGAAGAAGAACGTGTCCCCTCAGCTGTTGCTACATACTTCTCCCATTTCCTGAGGTCGAAGCTCACCCACTCCCATGCTTGCCTCCCATCCTTCCCTGCAGCAGCCATTATCCAACTACATTCCTAGTCCATAGGCTTGGGTTCTGGGATGGACATGGATAGGTTTCCATCCATCCATCCACCTCCTGAGGCCTCAGGGGCAAACAGGAGGTCCCGGGGCTCTTGCCCCTTTACCTTCCAAGGGACTTGGGGCGTCGGGCCGAGGCTTTGGCCGCTCGCTTCCTCAACTTTCTGTGAGGATAAGACAAGGTCAAATCAGGATTGGTGTAGCATCAAGTGGAAAAGACCAGTGTAGTCAGAACCAGGGACAAGATCCCTTTTCTAATAGTCAGAGAGCTTCCAAAGGCAGGGTGTAATGTCATAAGCTACTCCCAAGGCCCCATAGGCCCTCCAGGCATGAACAGGTGGGTGGGTCCTAGTCCTTGACCTTCAGAAATTAGATCAAGACAGATGAGGAATGACCTCCATTGGGATGTGGAGGTCAGAGAAGTAGCTTGAGTCAGCCCCAGGAAGACTGGTGTGTGTGTGTGTGTGTGTGTGTGTGTGCGTGTGTGTGTGTGTGCGCGCGCGCGCGCGCGCGTGCGCTTCTTTGGTGGTCTCTCCGAGGTTGGTCCTGGCCTGAGACTGCTGGACCAGGGCCTGAGGACTACATATCTGAGGACATTGGCTTGGTTAGACTGGGGAGTCTTCTTCCTGCCCAAGTCCAGTCTCACATGTCTGGTCATTCACAAGCTGAGCTCATCTCCCAAACATGCTTGTAGGAAAGGAAATATTTTAAATTGGCTTCAAATTTTATTTACTGGAGCAGGGCGAGGTGGTGCACACCTGTAACTCCGGGGAGGCAGAGGCAGGCAGGTCTCTGTGAGTTCAAGGCCAACCTGGTCTACAAAGCAAATCCAAGAGAGCCAAGGATACACAGAGAAACCCTGTCTTGAAAAAAGTAAAAAAAGAAAAAAATTATAAATACAAAACTTGGCATGGTGACGCACACCTGTAGTTTAATAAAAACTTTGGCTTCATTACTTCCCATATAAATACCCTAAGTTGATCTCTAACCTACAACCCCCCCCCCCCACACACACACACAATCTTTAAGGGAAGAAAAAGGAGCAAAGAGCAAAGCAATCCAAGGAATAATCAGTGGCTGCCAACATGGCTTAGTAGGTAAAAGGTCATTAAAACCCGGCAATTTGATTTTGATCCCAGAAATCCAGTGTGGAAGGAGACAACTGACTCTTGGGAGTTGTTCTTGGCCTCCCACATGCCCTGTAGTGTACACACAGACACACACACACACACACACACACACACAAACACCCACAATAATAAGATAAAACAATTCAAAGTCAAAGTAATGATTAGAAATGTGAATTAAATGCCACATTTCAGCTGGGCATGGTGATGCAGGCCCATAACCCCAGACTGGAGAGATGGAGGCAGAAGGATCAGGAGTTCAAGGTCAGCCAGGGATACATGAGATGTGGTCTCCAACAAGAACAAAACAAAAAACACCTCTGAGGGCAGGTGAAATGGCTCAGCACAAAAAGTTGCTCAAAACTCAGAACCTGAGTTCAATTCCTGGGACTCATGTGGGAGAGATGGAAATCCTCTGACTTCCATCTGTTCCCAGTGGCACGCAAAAGAAATAGTGTAGGAAAATTAAAACAACAAAAACACAAAACCTCTGCTCAAATCCCTCCAACGGAGCAAAGCCCGTGTCTCCCACGAGACCCTCCTTGATCTCGGGCACCTGTTCTTCCCTGCCACCTCCTCTGTCACACCGCCTACCATGTCCTCCGTTGCTCACTCAGCTCCAGCCGCACTGCAGTGAAGACAAGCGTGGCTCCCCTACCCCCGTCTCTTTGTAATCCCCTCCTCACCTGCATGTCTGCAGCTGTGCCCTCACCTCCCTTAGTCTGTCCTCCGGCAGCGTCTACGCAAGCCGGCTTCCCTCACCACCTTCATGACCCATCCTCACCCCTGAGGCAGGCGAGCAGGGGCCAGGTTGTCAGCTACATGTGCACACCCCTTCTCAACAAAGCTCTTAGCATCTTGGGGCCCTCGCCTGCATCTGCTGTGTGCACCTGTCTCTAAACAAAGCAATTGGGTTACTCTGGCATACAGCTGACTCGCAGCTCTTAGTAACTCCCCTTTCGGAGCAAATACATCCTGAAACATATCAGGAACTAGAGCAGTGAACCTGCCCAGCCTAGCCAGATTTGGGAGTCAGGGAGGTAAGGGAAACTATATTCTCAGAGTATACTTTCAGGGTAAAGTCCCAACGCACCATCTGATACTCACGCGTGATCGGGCGTACATATGATTAAAATGAGATGCATCTTGGGGAAAAAACATAAGCACTAAACAAAGGCTTATATAACCCAAGCCTGCCAATAGAAACAGGAAGCAGCCCACGGTTCATGCCTTAACAACTAGCGTCTTCTCCTGGACCCCCAAAGCCAGCCCTGGGCAGGTGTCCTCTAGCCCTCTAGCTCAGGCAGCCTGTTGCTCCCCTGCAGCCTATGTGCTCCATGCTTCCACGTCACTTTTGATAAAATCCTTTCCTACTTTGCTCTTTCAATTCTTTGAATAAGATGCCATGACCGTTGTTCTAATAGAGGCCACGGTAACACTACCATCCTTCCATTTTATTAGTTTGCTTTTTCTCTGGTTGCCCTTGTTTCCCAGAGGAAGAATAATTGTGTTCACTGTGGAATTACCAAAGTCTGCAATAGGAGCCAGCACACAGTGGGGCATCAAATAAATGTTGGATGAGTGACTCTCTGGGCCTTGGTTCATCCCATACCCTTTTTTTTGGAGAAGCTTGTGCTTAAAACCTACAACTCTTTTAGAGGCTGGTGTTTGGATTCTGAATGACAAAGCCTGAGCTTGGTGGAAGGAACACAGCCTAAGATGGATGACACTAAAGGTGCTACCGCACACAGCTATTGCGAAATGGTGCCAGACTGCAGACGGCTCAATTGTATTCCTTTCAGATGTGTTTGGGCACCACAGCAAAGAAAATTCCAGCAAAAATGGAAAAGAGTGGATGTTAGAGAATGTATTGATTTTAGAAAGAAAGAAAGTTTTCTTATTCTACAGATAAATGCTACTCGAGAGTTGCTAAATGAAAAGTTTGTGAGCATTTAAGGAAAACATATGGCAATTCTTAGAGATCTAAAATTATTGAAATAAGAAAATTACACACAAACCACTATGACAGCCCTCTGTGGAGGGTTCCTAAATTTGGAGGATGCAGACAGCTGTGAACACAGCCTATCTGGATTTTTGCAAGACTTAACAAACAAACAAACAAACAAACAAACAAAAAACCTCCCATAATTTTAGTATAGATGAAAGAATGAAATATTGGCTACATGATAGCCGTGTATTGCCCAACGTATATTCAGGCAGCTTTATCCATATTAGAGACAAGACCTGAGATGGTGTTCTGTCTCAATGCAAGGAAATGCCGCCTTTCCTCAAAGACGGGCTCTTCTACAAAATCCTGTCCCGTCGGGCCACACCCTACGCGGTGTGCTCAATGAAGTCATCTAACTGGCAAGAAGCCTGCCTACAAGAGAAAGAGGAGCTCTAAGAAAGCGAGCTTTCGGTCCTGCAAAACGGGGTGCAGACTGACACTGGGCCGATCTCCAAGTGTCTGCCCGACTAGCATAGGCTGTTTATCCGAACTACCAAACGAGATGCTCCAGGAAGGAAGCCGCCCTCCGCACAGAACCGTTCCCGGTGAACGCCGGCCGGCCACAACCTCTGAGGCCGCAGGCGCAGCCTCGCAGACACCCGCAGGCGCCGCCTCCGTCAGGCGGCCGCACCCTGAATGAACTCTGAACTTTTGAGGCCCCAGTGCCCAGGCGCCAGAAACCTGCCTGCCGACCGATGACGTCACTCTCGCGCACGCGCATTTCACAGCTTGCCTAGCCGTTTCCAAGGCTGAGGAGGAAAGCCTTCGAGGCCACACATTGTTTCCCGACGCCTGTGTCACAGCAGTCGCCTCACATCCCCTCCCCTAGACCCGGCTTCCCGCAGCCGCTTGCCTCCTCCGCGGCCTGCAAACACCCCGGCCCCGCACCTGTAGAAGGCCACGTTGACTCTCTTTTCTCCAGGGAAGCCCAGCATTCCGCAGACCACGTGGCTGTTGTGGGCGCTCCAGCCTCGGTCACACACTTGCGACCAGCCCTCGGGAAGCCTGACCTCAACCAGGCCCTCGGTCACAGGCAGGGGCCGTCTGCCCCAGTCGACGGCGGGTCGGAGCCGCACCTCCTCCACTCGCAGCTGCTGCTCCACCTGAGAGAGGACCAGAGGCAGGAGAGAGCATCGCAGCAGTGCCGCGCTGCCCCACAGGGACCCTGTCCGTCTGTGAGACCCTGTCGGTGGCGGGACCAGTGAGGACGGGCGAGGGGCGATGCCAGCCCAGCTGCCCATCTGGCGAGGTGACCCAGACTGCTGTGTGACAGTGCAGAATATGCTACTCGAGAAACAACCGCAGGGTCCCAAGGCACTGAGCGAGGGAAGCTGTAAGTGCGCCCGACGCAGGACGCGAGCTTCCCGATGCGGGTATCTCAGGAAGAGGAGAAAGATGCTGGACAAGAGGGACGGGGCCAGGAGTGGAACTATGGAGGCTGTGCCAGGTTTAGTGAATACTTAAAATAATCGGATTTGCGGGCTGGGGCTCTTCCAGAGGACCCACAAGGCAGCTCACAACCATCTGTAACTCTAGTTCCCTGGGATCCAGGGCCCTCTTCTGGCCTCTGTCTTCACTAGGTATGCATGGGGTCATACACATACATGACTGCAAAACACCCACCCATTTTAAAATTGTATTTTACACTGCAGTGCCTCATTCCACATTATCCTATAAAGACTTACGGGGTCCCTTTATAATCTCTTCTAACCACTTAACTCCACAGCCTTTTCAACTGTGTGTGTGGGGGGTGTCTGTGTGGTGGGTGTGTCTGTGTAGTGTGTGTCTGTTTGTGTGTGTGGTGTGTGTGTGTCTGTGTGTCTGTGTGGTGTGTCTGTGTGGTGTGTGTGTGATGTGTCTGTGTGTCTGTCTATGTGTGTGTCTGTCTGTG